AATCTCCCCCAAAACCACCCCAAATCCCCCTTGAACACCCAAATCCTCCCCTGAACACCCCAAATCCCACCCCAAATCCTCCCTCAAACCATCCCAAACACCCCAAATCCCCCCAAGCCCCCTGGTGCCCCCTCCCGGATATCTGCACTCGGCACAGGGGGGGTCCGTGCCCGGGGGGGGGTCCCGGGGGGGGTCCCGAGGGCGCACACCGGGAGCAGCTCCAGATCCCCCCCGAACCCCGCGGCCGCCAGCGGGGGCGGCACCGGCAGCGGCAGCGGCGGCCCCGGGCACGGCCGGAGGCGGCTGCAGGACGGCCTGGGGGGAACGGATCGGTATGGACCAGTTCGGACCAGTTCAGACCAATCTGCACCAGTTCGGACCAGTACAGACCGATCTGGACCAGTCTGGATCGGTACAGACCAGTCCGGGACTGGTCCAGACCAATTTATCCCAGTCCTACCCCTGCCCCATCCCAGTTCATCCCAGTTTGACTCTGTACTGCACCCCAGTCCCATCCCAGTTCATCCCAGTTTGACCCTGCACTACTTCCCTGCCCCACCCCAGTTTATTTCTCTATGTTCGGATCTGTCCCAGTTCATCCCAGTTCATTCCAGTCTATCCCAGTCCCGTCTGAGTCCCCTCAATCCATCCCAGTCCCTCAGTCCTTCCAAATCCATCCCAGTCCATCTCAGTCCAATCCCAGTCCCCCCCAATCCATCCCAATCCCATCCGAGTCTCTCCCAGTCCCATCCCACTTCCCCCCAGTCTCATCCCAGTCTATCCCAATCTCCCCAGTCCAATCCCAGTCCCATCCCAGTCCCTCCCAATCCATCCCAGTCCAATCCCAGTACAATCCCAGCCCATCCCAGTTCCCCCCAGTCCCATCCCAGTCCATCCCAATCTCTTCAGTCCAATCCCAGTCCCATCCATTCCAATCCCAGTCCCATCCATTCCAATCCCAGTCCCATCCCAATCTCCCCAGTCCTTCCCAGTTCATCCCAGTACTTTCCAGTCCCATTCCAATCCATCCCGGTCCCTCCCAGTCCATCCCAGCCTATCCCAGTCCATCCCAGCCCTATCCCAGTATATCCCAGTCCCATCCCAGTCCCTCCCAGTCCGTACCCAGTGAAGTGCCCGGCTCTGCACCCTCAGCCTCAATCCGCCTGTGCCCAGGGGGGCTCCGGGCTGGGGGACACAAGAGGTGGGGACCCCCAATTAGGGAGGGGGTCCCCGAAGTGGGGTGACCCCAATATCGGGGTGTTCCCAGTTTGGGGGTTCTCAGGATGAGGTGTCCCCAATTAGGGGTGAGTTTCCCAGTTTGGGGGTCCCCCAGGAGTGGGGGTAACCCCCAATTTGGGGGTCCCTAGGGTGGGTGACCCCAGTTTGAGTGACCCCAATGTCAGGGGTGTCCCCACTTTGGGGATCCTGGGGGTCTCACCTGAGGGTCCTGGATGTGACCTCCCCATCGATGCTGACACAGAAATGAAACTCGACCTGAACGGGGGGGGCATGAAGGGGTCACTGAGGAACCCCCTCCCCTTTTTGGGGACCCCCCCCCCAGGACACCCCAAACCCCCCCGGGTACCTCGGGGGTGCACGAGGCTGGTCCGGTGCAGGAGCTGCCACAGGGACCCCCGGGCGGGGGGGCACTGAGGGGTGACAGATCTGGGGGGGGGACACAAAGGGGACCCCAGAATCCTCCACGACCCCCGGGGGGGGAAGCACAGGAGGGACCCCAATACCCCCCCAAGGAACTGAGCCCAATTTGGGGGGGTCCCACCCCCTCCCCGTGCATGTTTTGGGGTGTTTCCACCCCCCCCCATGACCCCATTTCCCCTCCCCCCTCCCCCGTGACCCCCATTATTTCCCCCCCACCCCCCCCCCCCCAAATCCAGGCCACCCCGCCTATTTTTATCCTCCTGCCCCAATTCCCATTCCCGGGGGGCTCCTGGGGCCCCCCCCGACCCCCAATTCCCTCCATCAAGGTGACTCTGGGGGGGCTGGGAAAAAGAATAGAGAGTGGGGGGACCCCCAAAAATCCCCCCAAAAACCCCAAAACTCACCTGGAAGCTCCTTTGCACCTTAGCCCGGGCCAGGATCCGCCCGCAGCATTGGGGGAGATTTTGGGGGGCTCCCGGCCGCTCCTGCACCCCCCGAGGGGCTGGGGGGGATTTTGGGGGGGTGGATTTAGGGGGTTTGGGAGGGGGTTTAGAGATTTAGGGGACCCCAATGGGGCTGGGGAGGAGATTGAGAGGATTTTTGGGGTCCCAGAGAGGTTTTGGGGTCTCTCTGAGGAGGTTTGGGGGGTCTCTGGGGGGTTTGGGGGGTCTCTGAAGGGTTTTGGGGTCTCTGAGGGGTTTTGGGGGTTCTCTTACCCCTCCCCATTGCTTCAGGGTCGAGGTCTCGGCTGAGGGGTCCTGTGGCTGCCACTGGAAAAGGGGAGGGGGGTCAGAGGAGTCTGAGGGGGGGGTTTTTTTTTTCCCCATGGACCCCCTCAGAACCCCCCCAGGACCCCCCAGAATCCCCCCCGGGACCCCCCCACTCACCTGTGAGGGTGCAGACGGGCCCCCCCAGAGCCGCCCCCCGCCGTCAGAGCCACCAGCAGCGCTCCCCGTCGGGGCCTCCCCATTTTTTGGAGGTCCCCAGAACCACCAGGAGCTGCTCCAGGACCTGCAGGGCGAGAAAAAGGTGGGGGAGACCCCCAAATTCCCCCCTAAAAAAAACCCCAAAAATCTCCCGGACCCCCTTCCTAAGACTCTCCCCCTCCTTCCAAGGGAGCCCAGAGACCCCCAAAGCCCCCCAAAACCACTCTTGGGACCCCCAACATCACCCGAGACCCCCCAAATCCCTTCAAAAACTTCCCTCGGGACATTCGACCCCTCATAGAGACCCCTTAGGAGCCCCCAACCCATTTTAGTGAGCACTGACCCCTCACAAAGAGCCCCCCCATACCCGCCAAGCCCCACAACTCTCCTCAGTGACCCCTTAAAACCCCCAAAACCACCTCGAGGCACCCCCAAAGCTCCCGCAATCTTCCCTAGTGGTCCTTGACTCCACATAAACCAAAAAAACCCAAAAAAACCCCACAAAACCCCCTCACCCCCCTCACGGCCTCCTCCGCCATCTTTGCCCCCCCTCACGCCTCGAGCGCCCCCTAGCGGGCGGCACGCGCGGGTGGCGGGGAAAATTGGGGGCGTGGCTTCCTCCCCTTATCGCCATGGCAACAAGCCGGGAGGGGGGCGTGTCCAGGAGGCGTTGCCGTGGTGACGGCGGAGGGGGCGTGGCCAGCAAAGCCCCGCCCCCCTGAGTGTGATGAGCTGCCGCGGGCTCAGCGCGCGCCCGCGACCGCAGCGCAGGTAAGGGGGGGGGGGGGGAGGGGGCACAAACACACCTGGGGGGGCTCAAACTGAGGGGAGACCCCCCCCAAAACCACCCCAAACCCACCCTCAGAACCCCCCCCAAGGGTCCCGCAACCCCCCCCGAACCCGCTGATCCCCCCCGCGCCCCCCCCCGGGCACTGCGGCAGCGGCTCCGCATCCCCGGGCAGGGCCCCCCCCGCGCTGTCCCGGGAGGAATTTGGGGGACCCCCCACCCCCAAATTCGCGTGTTTGTGTCCGAACCCCCCCTGACCCCCCCCGGTGCTGCGGACCGCTGATCCCCGTTAAGAGCATTAACGGGGGGGGGAGCGCGGGGGGAGCGGGGGGGGCTCTGGGGGGGCTCTGGGCAGCGGGGGGAGGGGGGCTCCGAGGAGTTTTGGGGGTCCCGAGAAAGAATTTGGGGGCGCTCGGGGTTTGTTTGAGAGGATTTGGGGGCGCTCAGGGTGACCCCGAGAGTTTTTTGGGGGGGTCCATTGATGGGGAGGGGGCTTGGAGGAGTTTTGGGGGGTCCCGGGGGGAATCTGGGGGGGCTCAGAGGGGTCTTTGGGGGGAGGTTTGGGGGGGGCTCGGTGGAGTTTTGGGGGTCCTGGGGTGACCCTGAGAGTTTTGGGGAGGGGGTCTCAGGAGGAGGGGGGAGGAACTTGGGGGGAGTTTTGGGGGTCCCGTAGAGGAATTGGGGGGGTCCCGGGGGGGGATTTTGGGGGTATTTAATGGATTTTGGGGGGGGGCTCTCCACTGAAGGGTTTGGGGAGGGGGATGTCAATTAATTTGCAGAAATTCCTGGTTAATTGGATGGATCTTTGTTAATTTGATGGGGCTTTTTGTTAATTTGGGGAGAGGTCTTTCTTAATTTGAAGCGCTCTTAATTAATTTGGGGCGCATTCCCTTAATTTGGGGGGGGTTCTTCATTAATTTAGGGAAAAATTCCGAATTCGAGGGGAATTTTAATTAATTTGGGGGCGTCTCCGTTAATTTTGGGGGGTCTCCGTTAATTTTGGGGGGGAGGGTCTCCCTTAATTTGGGAGTCCCCGTTAATTTAGGGGGGATCCCCGTTAATTTGGGGGGGGTCTCCTTAATTTGAGGGTCTTCGTTAATTCGGGGAGACCCTCGTTAATTTGAGGGGGGGGTCCCCGTTAATTTCGGGGTTCATTAATTTAGATTTAAAAGTCTCAATTTGAGGAATAATTTAATTAATTTGGTGGGGTCTCCCTTAGTTTGAAGGGGGTCCCCGTTAATTTTGAGGGGGGGTCCCCGTTAATTTTATGGGGGGGGGTCTCCGTTAATTTGAGGGGGAGTCCTCCGTTAATTTGGGGGTCTCCGTTAATTTGGGGGGGGGGGGTCGTCTTCCTTAATTTGGGGGTCCCCCTTTAATTTGGGGGGGTTCCCTTTAATTGGGAGGGGGTTCCCTTTAATTTAAGGGGGGGGGGTCCCCGTTAATTTCGGGCCTCCTCGCCGTCACTTTGAGGAGGGGTTCGCCCCCCCAAAGTGACCAAACGCCCCCCCCCCATTTTTCCAGCTGCCCCCTGAGCCCTCCCAGCGCCGCCCCCTCCCCAAATTGGGGGGGTCCCCCGAGGCCGCCATGTTGTCCCCCCCCCCCCTTGGACCCCCTGGAGCTGCCGCGGGTTCAGCGACCCCCGCTGGGAGGGGGAGGGGGGGGCCCGAGCAGGAGGAGGAGGAGGAGGAGGAGGAGGAGGAGGACGAAGGCTCCGCCCGGCGCTTCGAGCGCTCCCGCATCAAAGCCTTGGCAGTACGGAGGTACGGGGGGGGGGGGACCCCGAAAATGGGGAGGAAAAAGGGGGGAAAATGGGGAGGAAATTGGGGGAAAATTGGGGAAAAAATGGGGGAAAATGGGGGAAAATGGGGGGGGGAAATGGGAAAAATGGGAAAAAATTGGGGGAAAATTGGGAAAAATTGGGGGGAAATTGGGAAAAAATGGGAAAAATTGGGGGAAAATTGGGAAAAATGGGGGGAAATTGGGGGAAAATTGGGGGGGAAATATTGGGGGGAATTGGGGGAAAATTGGGAAAAATTGGGGGGAAAATGGGAAAAAATGGGGAAAAAATTTGGGGGCGGAAATTTGAGGGGAAATTGGGGAAAATGGGGGGAAAAGGGGAAAAATTGGGGGGGGGGAGTTGGGGGGCGAATTGGGAGAAAATGGGGAAATATTGGGGGGAAATGGGGGAAAAGCAGAGGGGGAAAAATTGGGGTGGGAAAAGATGAAAAAATTGGGGAAAATGGGAAAAATTTGGGGGGAAATTGTGGGGGGGAAAATAGGGAAAATTGAGGGGGAAAATTGCGAAAAAATGGGGAAAAATTGGGGGAAAGTTGAGGGGGAAATTGGAAGAAAATGGGGGGAAAAAAGTGCAAAAAAATAGGGGAAAGTGGGGAGGGGAATTGGGGAAAATGGGAAAAAATTGGGGAGGAAATTGGGAAAAAAATGGGGAAAAGTTGGGGGAGAAAGTTGGGAAAAATTGGGGAAAAATGGGAAAAAATGGGGAAAAATGGGGGTGGGGAAGGATGGAAAAAATGGGGGGGAAAGTGCAAAAAAATTGGGGGAAAGTGGAAAAAATGGAGAAAAACTCAGAAAAAATGAGAGAAAGGATAAAAAATGGGGTGGAACCAGGAGAGAATTTGGGAGAAAGTCACCAAAAATATGGAAATCACATAAAAAATGGGAATTGGGAACCCTGGAATGTTATGGGAGTAGAAAAAGTAAAGGAAACACAAAGAAAGTGATGGAAATGTGGTAAAAAATGGGAGAAAAGCCCTAAAAATGGAGAAAAGGGACCCAGAAAATGTTGGGAGGTGCATCAGGAATATGAGAGATCACAAAAATGGGGATGGGGAACGCAAAAAATTGGGGAGATGGACCCCCAAAAATGGGGAAATCAGCCCCAAAATGAGAGGGGACAGCATAAAAATGAGGAAAAACCACAAAATGGGGGGAAAATTCTTCAAAACAAGAGAAAAAATGCAGAAAAGAGGGGAAAACACACAAAAATATGAGGGAGACCCCAAAAAATGGAGATCAGGGAACCCCAAAATGAGCCCGAAAAATTGGGGGGAACACCAAAACTAGGGAAAACCCCCGAAAATGGGGGAAAAACCCAAAAAATAGGGGAAAACCCCCCAAAGATGGGGGCGTATTATGGAAAAATGGGAGGGAAAACCACCCAAATTTCCACCTCCCAATCACCCCAAAACCCCCCTCAGGACAAACCCCCCAACCCCCCCAATCGCCCCCCAGACCCCCAAAACTCCCCCAAATTCCCCAGGACCCCCCCTCAGTAGCCCCCCCAAGGAGCCCCCCAAATCCTCTTAGCGTTAATCCAGCACCGGCTGCTGCGGGGGGGATCCCCCCCGGGGGGGCTGCGACCCATGGGGGGCTCGGGGGGGGAATTTTGGGGGGTCTCTGAACCCCCCCGTGCACCCCTAGATGAGGCGAGGATGGGGGGGGGGGGCCTCAGATGGGATTTGGGGTCTCAGGTGGGATTTGGGGGTGGTCTCTGGGTGAGGTTTGAAGAATCTGGATAGGGTTTGGGTGGTCGGGAGGGATTTGGGGGGTTTTTGGGGGGTTTTGGGGGTCTCTGACCCCCCCGTGCCCCCCCTCGAGGAGCCCAAGGCCGTGCAGAAAGATGAGGAGGGGGTCTCAGATGGGATTTGGGGTCTCTGGGTGGGATTGGGAGGATCTGGGTGAGGTTTGAAGGATCTGGGTGGGCTTTGGGTGGTCTGGGGGGCTTTGGGGGGTTTTATGGGGGGTTTTGGGGGGTTTTTGGGGGTCTCTGACCCCCCCGTGCCCCCCCAGACGAGCGCGAGGCCGTGCAGAAGAAAACCTTCACCAAGTGGGTGAACTCTCACCTGGCGGGGGGGGCGCACCTGGGGGACCTTTACAGCGACCTGAGGGACGGGCGGCTCCTGCTGAGGCTGCTCGAGGGGGCTCTCGGGGGAGACCCTGGTGAGTGAGACCCCTCTCCAAATTGGGGACGCCCCCCCTCAAAGGGGAACCCCCTCAAAAAAAACAGGAACATCCCAATGGGGACCCTCCCCAAAATAGGGAAATCCCCAAAATGGGGAAATCCCTGTGGGGACCCCAAAAAGGGACCCCAAGCTGCTTGAGGGGGGTTCCTGGGTGAGTGAGACCCCCTCCCCAAATTGGCGACACCCCCCTCAAAGGGGAACCTCCCCCCCAAAAAAAAAAAAACAAGAAACCCCCCAAAAAAACCAAGAACCTCCCGATGAGGACCCTCTCCAAAAATAGGAACCCCCCCAATGGGGACCCTCCCCAAATTAGGGAAATTCTTGTCGATGCCCCCCTGCCCTTGGGGGGTCTCTCCAACATTGCCCCCCCCCTACTCGGGGGTCTCTCTAACATTACCCTTTGCCCTTGGGGGGTCTCTCTAACATCGCCCCCTGGTCCTGGGGGGGTTCCCTGACTGTGCCCCCCTGCCCTTGGGGGTCTCTCTAACGTTGCCTCCTACCCGGGGGGGTTCTCTAACTGTGCCCCCCGAGTTTGGGGGTGTTCCCTGACAATGCCCCCTTTGCCCTGGGGGGGGGGGGTCTCTAACGTTGCCCCCCTGCCCCTTGGGGGGTCTCTCTAACATTGGCCCCCGACTCGGGGGTCTCTCTAATGCTGCCCCCCCCACCCTTGGGGGTTCCCCGATGTTTCCCTCTGCCCTTGGGGGTCTCCCTAACCATGCCCCCTGCCCTGGGGGGGTTCCCTGTCGGTGCCCCCCCTGCCCATGGGGGTCCCCCTAACCTTGCCCCCCGCCCAGCCGCGCCCCACGCGGGGGCCGGATGCGCATCCACTGCCTGGAGAACGTGGAGAAGGCGCTGCGGTTCCTGCGCGAGCAGCGCGTGCACCTGGAGAACGTGGGCTCGCACGACATCGTGGACGGCAACCCCCGCCTGACCCTGGGGCTGGTCTGGACCATCATCCTGCGCTTCCAGGTGTCCCTTGGGGTCCCTTTGGGGGGGTCCTGGGGGGGTTTGGGGTCATTCATGGGGGTCAGGAACCCATCCCGGGGGGTTTGGGGGTCATTTATGGGGTCAGGAACCCATCCTGGGGGGGGTTTTGGGGTCACTTAGGGGGGTCCTGGAGCTTCCCTGGAAGGATTTGGGGTCATTTCAGGGGGTCCGGGGGGGGGGTTTGGGGGTCATTTTGGGGGGGTCCTGGGAAGTTTGGGGTCACTTTGGGGGCTCCTGGGGGAATTTGGGGTCATTTATGGGGGTCAGGAACCCATCCTGGGAGGGTTTGGGATCACTTAGGGGGGTCCTGAACCTATCCTGGGGCATTTGGGGTCATTTAAGAGGATGCTGGAGTTGCCTGGGGGGTTTGGGGGTTATTTAGGGGGCTCCTGAACTCACCCTGGGGGCGTTTGGGGTCATTTAGGGAGGTTCTGGAGCTGCCCTGGGGGGGTCTGGGGTCATTTAGGGGGGTCCCAAACCCACCCTGAGGTCTCAGTTTGGTCACAGAAATCCCCAGACCTTCCCCTGGCCCCTTTTGTGGGGGTCTCACACCCAGTTTTTGGGGGTCCCTGACCCCATTTTTTGTGGTCCTGACCCTGCCACGAGATGCTTGCACCCATTTTGGGGTGTTCCAGACCCACTTTGGGGGGGGTCCTTAACCCCAATTTTGGGAGTCCCCTGACCCCATTTCTGGGCTCTGCCCCCCAGATCCAGGACATCAGCGTGGAGACCGGGGGACACGCGGGAGAGGAAATCGGCCAAGGACGCTCTGCTGGCCTGGTGCCAGATGAAAAACCGCGGGGTGAGGGGTCCCGGGGGGTCCTGGGGGGGGATTTTGGGGGTCCTGAGGGGGTCCTGGAGAAGTTTTGGGGGTTCTGAGGGGGTCTGGGTGGTCTCCATGTGGCTCTGGAGGCTCCTGGGGGCTCTATGGGGCTTTGGGGGGGGCTCTGAGTGGTCCTTGAGGGGATTCATGTGGGACCTGCTGGGCCTGGGGTTTGGGGGGGATTTTGGGGGGGGTTTTGGGGGTCTCTGGGAGGGGTTTTGGGGGTCTCTGACCCCCCCTGTCCCCCCCCCAGGTACCCCAATGTGAACGTGCAGAATTTCACCACGAGCTGGAGGGACGGGCTGGCGTTCTGCGCCCTCATCCACCGGCACCGGTGCGGCACCGGGGGGCTGCGGAGGGGCTGGGGGTGTGGGGAGGGGGTCCTGGGGGGTGGGGGAGGGGGTCCTGGGAGTGGGGAGGGGGGCTGTGGGGTGGGTGGGCTGGGGGGGGATGTGGGGGTTATAGGGCAGCAGTTATGGGGTGGGAGTTTGTGGGGTTATGGGGCAGGGTCAGGGGTTATGGGGTGCTGTGGTCAGTGGTCAGTGGCTGTGGGGTGCTGGGGCTCAGTGGTCAGTGGCTGTGGGTCAGTGGTCAGTGGTTATGGGTCAGTGGTCAGTGGTCAGTGGTCAGTGGTCAGTGGTCAGGGTCAGTGACAGTGGTCAGTGGTCAGTGCTTGTGGGGTGCTGTGGGTCAGTGGTCAGTAGCTATGGGTCACTGGTCAGTGGTCATGGCTCAGTGGTCAGCGGTCAGTTGTGATGGGGTCAGTGGTCAGTAGCTATGGGTCAGTGGTCAGTGGTTAGAGGTCAGTGGTCAGTAGCTATGGGTCAGTGGTCAGTGGTTAGAGGTCAGTGGTTAGTAGTTGTGGGTCAGTGGTCAGTAGCTATGGGTCACTGGTCATTGGTCAGTGGTTATGGGGTGCTATGGTCAGTGGTTATGGGTCAGTGGTCAGGGGTTATGGGTTGCTGTGGGTCAGTAGCTATGGGTCACTGGTCAGTGCTCAGTGGTCAGGGGTTAGAAGTCAGTGGTCAGTAGTTGTGGGTCACTGGGTCAGTGGTCAGTAGCTATGGGTCACTGGTCACTGGTCAGTGGTCACTGGTCAGTGGTCAGTAGCTGTGGGTCACTGGTCACTGGTCAGTGGTCAGTGGTCAGTAGTTGTGGGTCAGTGGTCAGTAGCTGTGGGTCACTGGTCACTGGTCACTGGTCAGTGGTCAGTAGCTGTGGGTCACTGGTCACTGGTCACTGGTCAGTAGCTATGGGTCACTGGGTCACTGGTCAGTGGTCAGTGGTCAGTAGTTGTGGGTCAGTGGTCAGTAGCTGTGGGTCACTGGTCACTGGTCACTGGTCAGTGGTCAGTGCTCAGCTGTCCCGGTGTCCCCAGGCCGGAGCTGCTGGACGTGGGGGTCCCTGCGCGGAGCCAACGCCCTCCACAACCTGCAGAGCGCCTTCGGCGTGGCCGAGCGCGAGCTGGGGGTCACCCGGCTGCTGGACCCCGAGGGTGAGGGGCTGGGGGGGGGATTTGGGGGTCCCTGGGGGTGGATTTGGGGGGGGTCTGACCCCCCGTGCCCCCCGGATGTGGCCGTGGAGCAGCCGGACGAAGCGCTCGGTGCTGGGGGGGCTGTGAAGGGTCAGGGGGATTTGGGGGTGGATTTGGGGGTCCCTGGGGGGATTTGGGGGGTGGGTTTGGGGGTCTGACCCCCGGTGCCCCCCAGATGTGGCCGTGGAGCAGGCCGGACGAGCGCTCAGTGCTGACCTACGTGGCCGCGCTCTACCATCACTTCTCCAGGATGAAGGCGCTGGCCGTGGAGGGGGAAACGCGTCGGGAAGGTCCGGGGGGGACAGACAGACACGGGGGGGGGACAGACGGACACGGGGGGGGGGACAGACGGACACGGTGGGGACAGACGGACACGGGGGGGGGACAGACGGACACGGGGTGGACACAGGGATTGGGGGGGACGCAGGGATGGACACACGGGTGGATGGAAAGGGAACGGGGGGAGGAGGAAGGGAGGGTGGACAGATGACGATGGGCAGATGGGCAGATGGACGGACAGACGATGGGCAGATGGTGTCGGGGGGGTGGGGACTGGAGAGAATCTGCGGGAATGGGGGGGAGGGGAGGGAGGGAGGGAGGGGACAGATGGGGGATGGACAGAGGGGATGGACAGAGGGGATGGACAGAGAGGACGGACAGAGGGGACTGATTGATCAGAAGGGGGTGGAGAAGGAGGGGGATGGATGGACAGGGGGATAAATGGACGGAGGAGTGTGGGGATGGATGGATGGATGGATGGATGATGGATGGATGGGGTGGATGGATGGATGATGGATGATGTGAGGACGAATGGATGGATGGATGGATGGATGAATGGATGGATGGATGGATGGGTGGATGGATGGATGATGGATGATGTGAGGACGAATGGATGGATGGATGGATGGATGAATGGATGGATGGATGGATGGAGGTGGATGGATGGATGATGGATGATGTGAGGACGAATGGATGGATGGATGGATGGATGGATGGATGGATGGATGGGTGGATGGATGGGATGAGGGATGATGTGAGGACAAATGGATGGATGGATGGAATGGATGGATGGATGGATGGATGGATGGATGTTGGGTGGATGGATGATGGATGTGAGGACAAACAGATGGATGTTGTATGGATGTGAGGACAGCCAGCCATCCCCTGTCCGTCCGTCCGTCCGTCCCCGGCAGGTGCTGGAGGCGGCGCGCGAGGCCGAGGGCCTGGCCGGCCGTTACGAGGCGCAGGCGCGCGAGCTGCTGGGCTGGATCCAGCGCTCGCTGCTGCTGCTCACGGGACCGGCGCCCTGCCCCGCGGCATCCCCGGCCTGCAGGGGCAGCTCCAGGCCTTCAGCGCCTACCGCACACCGAGAAACCCCCGCGGTGAGGGACCCCCGGCCGGGGCTGGGGGCTGCACCGAGGGGGGCTGGGGGCCTCAAAGGGGGTTTGGGGGCTGAACTGACGGGTCTGGGGGCTGAAGCGAGGGGGCTGGGGGCCGCCCAGTGGGGTTTGGGGGCTGAACTGAGGGATCTGGGGGCTGAAGTGAGGGGTCTGGGGGCTGCTCAGAGGCTGACCTGAGGGGTCTGGGGGTCCCAAAGGGAGATGGAGTCTCCCCTACTGGGGTCTGGGGGGCTGCACTGAGGGGTTTGGGGGCCGTCCAAAGAGGCCTGGGGGCTGCCCTGAGGGCTCTGGGGCCACAAAGGCAGTTTGGGGTCTCCCTACTGGGGTCTGGGGGCTCCCTGAGGGGTCTGGGGGCTCAGTGCTGGGGTCTGGGGGCTGCCCAGTGGGGTTTGGGGTCCCCAAGAAGGGATTTGGGGTCCCCCCGGTGTATTTGGGGTCCCCCTGGTGTATTTTGGGGTTCTCTCAGTAAATCTGGGATCCCCCCCCAGTGTATTTTTGGGGTCCCCTGGTGTATTTTGGGGTTGTCTCAGTGAATTCTTTTGGGGTTCCCTGGGTGTATTTTGGGGTTCTCTCCGTGAACTATTCTGGGGTTCTCTCAGTGAATTACTTTTGGATCCCCCTGGTGTATTTTGGGGTTCTCTCAGTGAATTCTTTTGGGGTTCTCTCAGTGAATTTCTTCGGGGTTCTCTCAGTGAATTTTTTGGGGTTCTCTCAGTGAACTCTCGGGGTCCCCCCAGGTTTGAGGACAAGGGCTCCCTGGAGGTTCTGCTGTTCTCGCTCCGGAGCCGCCTCCGTGCCAACAACCAGCGACAGTTCGTGCCGCGGGAGGGGACGCACAGCGCCGACATCAACAGGGTGACAGCCACGGGGACATGGGGACATTGGGGACATTGGGGACATTGGGGGACGCACAGCGCCGACATCAACAGGGTGACAGCTGTGGGGACATGGGGACACTGGGGACACTGGGGACATTGGGGGACGCACAGCGCCGACATCAACAGGGTGACAGCTGTGGGGACATGGGGACACTGGGGACATTGGGGACATTGGGGGACGCACAGCGCCGACATCAACAGGGTGACAGCTGTGGGGACATGGGGACACTGGGGACATTGGGGGACGCACAGCGCCCACATCAACAGGGTGACAGCTGTGGGGACATGGGGACACTGGGGACATTGGGGGACGCACAGCGCCGACATCAACAGGGTGACAGCTGTGGGGACATGGGGACACTGGGGACATTGGGGGACGCACAGCGCCCACATCAACAGGGTGACAGCTGTGGGGACACTGGGGACACAGGGGGCACTGGGGACATTGGGGACATTGGGACATTGGGACATGGGGGGGACACGGGAGGGTCCCACAGTGCCAACATCAACAGGGTGACAGCCACAGGGATTTGGGGACATGGGGACATGTGGACATGGGAGAGTACACAATAACACAAGTGCCAAGCGTGCCAGGTGTGCAGGTGCCCTTGGTGCCAACTGTGCAGGTGCACAGGTGACACAGGTGACCTAGGTGCCCTAGGTGACACAGGTGCCCCAGGTGCCAGCTGTGCAGGTGCCCAGGTGACACAGGTGCCAGCTGTGCAGGTGACACAGGTGACACAAATGACAGGTGACACAGGTACCCAGGTGACACGGGTGCCCAGGTGACACAGGTGTCAGCTGCCCAGGTGCCCCCGGTGACACAGGTGCCCTAGGTGACACAGGTGACACGGGTGCCCAGGTGACACAGGTGACACCGATGCCAGGTGTGCCCGGTGCCCAGGTTCCCCAGGTGACACAGGTGCCCAGGTGACACAGGTGACACCGATGCCAGGTGTGCCCGGTGCCCAGGTTCCCCAGGTGACACAGGTGCCCAGGTGACACAGGTGACACCGATGCCAGGTGTGCCCGGTGCCCAGGTTCCCCAGGTGACGCGGTGCGTCCCGCAGGCGTGGGAGCGGCTGGAGAAGGCGGAGCACGGGCGGGAGCTGGCGCTGCGCTCGGAGCTGCTCCGGCAGCAGCACCTGGAGCAGCTGGCGGCACGGTTCCACCGCAAGGCCGCGCTCAGGGAGACCTGGCTGGGCGACAACCAGCGCCTGGTGGCACAGGTGACACCCCAGGGACCCCTGTTAGGGACAACCAGCGCCTGGTGGCACAGGTGACACCCCAGGGACCCCTGAGATCCCCAGACAAACCCCAGTCAGGGACAATGAGCACCTGGTGGCACAGGTGACACCGGGACCCCCAGCAAGGACAACCTGGTGCCACAGGTGACCCTGAAACCGCCCCCACCCCAGGAGACTTCCCCTTGTCCCCACCGGGACAATTTGAGGATGTGTCCACCCCCCACTTTGTCACGTCTCAGCCCCTTTTTTGCTCCTCCAGGACAATTTCAGGGGATCCCTGGAGTGTCCCCCCCCACCTTTTACCCCTTCTCCCTCCTCTCCTACCCCAGGATGATTTTGGGGGGGGGTCCCTGAAGTGTCCCCTCCCTCACCCCCACTTTCCCCCCCCCAGGACAATTTCGGGGGATCTCTGCAGTGTCCCCTCTCTCACCCCCCTTTCCTCCCCCCAGGACAATTCGGGGAGGGGTCCCTGGTGTGTCCCCCCCCCCTCACCCCCCATATTCCGCCCCCCAGGACAATTTCGGGGGGTCTCTGGGCGGTGTCGAGGCCGCGCTGCGCAAGCACGAGGCCATCGAGAGCGACATCGCCGCCTACGGCAGCCGCGTGCGCGCCGTCACCGCCGTGGCGGCCGAGCTGGAGGCCGAGCGCTATCACGACATGGGCGGCATCGCGACACGGCGCGACCACGTGGTGTCGCTCTGGGAGGCGCTGCGGGCTCAGGTGGCGGCGCGGCGGGAGCGGCTCCGGGCGCACCTGGAGCTGCAGCGGCTCCTGCGCGACCTGGAGCACCTGATGGGCTGGATGGAGGAGATGGAGGTGGGGAGGGGGCTGCGAGGGGGGGTGGGATTCCCTCGTGGGACCCCCCCGTGACCCCTCGGTGTCCCCAGGTGCGGCTGCAGTCGCGGGACTTCGGGCAGCACCTGAGCCAGGTGGACGATCTGCTGCAGATCCACGCCCTGGTCGAGGGGGACGTGGCGGCTCAGGCCGAGAGGGTTCGGAGTGTGGGGGCGGCGGGCCGAGCGATTCCTCGGGGAGGGGGGCGGTGAGTGACCCCCAAAACTGGGAACCCCGAAATTGGGATCCCCGGGATGCCCTGGAACCCCAAACTCAGGGACACTGAATCCCAGGACCCCCACTCACCTGAGACCCCCAAAACTGGGAACCCCGAAATTGGGATCCCCCGGGATGTCCTGGAACCCCCAAACCCAGAAACACCTGAATCCCAGGACCCCCACTCACCTGAGACCCCCAAAAGCGGGATCTAGCAGAACCCCAAAATGAACCCCCAAAAACTAGGACCCCAAAAAACTGGGACCCCCAAAAACCGAGACCTCAAACACCAAATCCCCGAACCCGGGGACCTCCAAATCCCAGACCCCCAAACTCCGGCTCTCCCAAATCCTCAGCATCCCTGAATCCCAAACCCTGGGAACCCATCCCTAAGCACCGTACCCCTGAACCCTGGGGCATTCCAGCCCCCAGGACCCCCAAACCCCGCGACCCCCGGGCCCCCCCCAGCCCCACTGACGCCCCCCGTGTCCCCCAGGGTACCGCCCGTGCCCCCCGGAGCAGCTGCGGGCCCGCGTGGCCGCTCTGGAGCTGCGTTACCGGGGACTCTCGGCGCTGTCGGCGCAGCGGCGGCTGCGGCTGGAGCGCTCCCGGCGCCTCTGGAAGTTCCTGTGGGACGCGGGCGAGGAGGAGGCCTGGATGCGGGAGCAGGAGCGGCTCCTGCGCTGCCCGGAGCTGGGCCGGGACCTGCCGGGAGCGCTGAGGATGCTGAGCCAGCTCGAAGCCATCCGAGGGGCGCTGGGGGGACGCGCGGGGCCGCTGCAGCAGCTGCTGGAGCGGGGCCGGGAGCTGCTGGCGCAGGGAGCCCCCGACGGAGCCACGCCGGGATCGGCGGAATCCACACCGGGACCGGCGGAATCCACACCGGGATCGGCGGAATCCACACCTGGATCGGCGGGATCCGCTGCCGGGTCGATGGGAGGCTCAAAACCCGCGGAATGCGCTGCCGGATCCACCTCCAGATCCACGGAGGGACCCCCGGAATCCAAGAACGCGTCCCTGGAATCCCCCCCTGCATCCACGGAGGGACCCTCGCCATCCTCCACCAGACCCTCGGAACGCCCCGACGGCTCCACAGAACGCACCGGGGAACCCACAGCCCGCCCTGAGGGACCCCCGGGCCCCGCTCCCGGCTCCCCGGACCCCGCGGCCGCCGTGTCCCGGCGGATCCGGGAGCTGGAGTCGCTGTGGGCGGCGCTGCCGGCGCTGGCCGGGGCTCGGGAGCGGCGGCTCCGAGCGGCCGCGGGGCGCTTCCAGCTGGACGCGGAGGCGGCCGAGGCCGAGGCGTGGCTGGCGGCCGCCGCCCGCAGAGTGGCGGCGCCGGAGCTCGGGCACGACGAGCGCTCGGCGGGGATGCTGGAGCGGCGTCTGCGGGAGCTGCAGGACGAGATGCGGCGGCGAGGGCCGGCGCTGGCGGCGCTGCGGGAGCAGGCGGCGCCCGGCGATGCCGCCGAGCTTCCCGACGTGGTGCCGGGGCTGGCGGAGCGGCTGGCGGAGCTGGAGCGGCGGCACCGGGAGCTGGAGGAGCGGGCGGAGCTGCGGCGCCTGGAGCTGCGGGACGCGCTGGGGTTGTTCGCGGCGCGCAGCGAGGCCGATGCCTGCGCGCTCTGGGTGGGAGAGAGGGAGCAGTGGCTGCTCTCCATGGAGATTCCCGAGCGGATCGAGGACCTGGAGGTGGTGCAGCAGCGGTGAGCGCCCCGCGCTGCACCGTGCGAATCCCTGAGTTGTTCCCAAAGTTATTGCCGTGGTCGCCCCCGCTGGGATTCCCCCAGGAATTTCCCCAAGAATGCCCAGGATCGCCCCGTTATTCCCGTTTTTCCTCAGGATGTCTCCAGTATTCCCAATATTCACGGTGTTCCCTGAATTCCTCCCTCCACCACAACATCCCCAGCGTTCCAGCTGTTCCCGTTTTCCCAGAATTTTCACTTCCAACACAACATTCCCTGTACTCTCCGAATTCTCACCTCGACCTGAGATATCCCCAGCAGTCCCAAAATTCCCACCTCCAACACCGCATTCCCAGCGCTCCCAAAACTCCCCAAATTCCCACTTCCAGCGCAGTATTCCCAGAATTTCTGCCATTCCCACCTCTGGCACCGGGTTGCTGGGCTTTCAGCGTCCCCATCTCCCGCTCGGCATTCCCGGAATTCCCGAAATTCCGGGAATTCCCGGTGATTCCCGGCGCTCCCGCAGGTTCGAGACGCTGGAGCCGGAGCTGGCGGCGCTGGCAGCACGCGTGGCCTCCGTGGGCCGGGTCACGGAGGAGCTGCGGGGATCCGGGGACAGGAACCGGGACAGAGCCCGCGACACCTGGGAGCAGCTCCGGGACAGGTGGGGGCGGCCCCGGCGGGGCCATTCCGGGCTGGGACTGGGGGCGGATCCGGGCAGGGATGGATTTTCCAGGCGCTCAGGGAGGTGCTCCAGGCAGGGATGGGTTCTCCGGGCAGTCAGGGATGCTCCAGGGATGAATTCTGTGGGCTGGGACAATCCAGGGATGGATTCTCTGGATTGGGACACTCCAGGGTTGGATTCTCGGGGCTGGGGCACTCCAGGGATGGATTCTGTGGGTTGGGACAATCCAGGGATGAATTCTCTGGGCTGGGACACTCCAGGGATGAATTCTTGGGCTGCGACGCCCCGAGCATTCCCCGGGCCCGGTCCCACCGTGTCCCGGTCCCGCCCGTGCCAGGTGGGAGCGGTTCCGTGCGCTGGCCGAGCGCAAGAAGGTGGCGCTGACCGCGGCGCTGAACATCCACAATTTCCGCCTGGAGTGCCACGAGACGCGGGGCTGGATGCGGGAGAAGACGGCGGCGATCGAGGCCACGCGGGCGCTGGGCCGGGACCTGGCGGGGATCACGGCGCTGCAGGCGAAGCTCTCGGGGATGGGGCGCGACCTGGACGCCATCCAGGGAAAGCTGCGGGAGCTGCGGGCCGAGGGCGAGAAGCTGCAGCGGGAGCAGCCCGAGCGAGCGCCCGAGATCGGCGAGGAGCTGGCGGCGCTCGAGGCCGAGTGGGACGCGCTGCGCCGGTGCCACCGGAGCCGCGAGGAGTCGCTGGGGCAGGCGCGGCGGCTCCAGGGCTTCCTGCGGGACCTGGCGGCGCTGCAGGCCTGGCTGTCCCGCACCCGCGCGGCCGCGGGCTCCGAGGATGTGCCCGCGTCCCTGGCCGAGGCCGAGGGCTCCCTGCGGCAGCACGAGAGCCTCCGCACCGAGATCTCGCACTACGGCGCCGATTACCGGAGCGCCCGCGCCGCCGGCCGGGAGGTGACGCGGGGACAGACGGACGCGCAGAGTCTGTCCCTGCTGCAGCGCCTGGAAGCGCTGGATGCGGACTGGGAAGAGCTGGGCCGGGTGTGGGAGAAGCGGCAGCGGCTCCTGGCCCAGGCTGTCGCCTTCCACGTGTTCCTGCGGGACGCCAAGCAGGTGGAGGGGACGCTGGGAAAGCAGGTGAGGGCAGCCGGGGTGTTCCGGGGGATCCCGGGGCTCCGGTGCCATCCCGGTCCCGATCCCGATCCCGGTTCCGGTCCCGACCCGCAGGAGCACGCGCTGGCCCACACGGAGATGCCGAGCACGGTGCCGGGGGCGGAGGCGGCCGTGAGGAGGCTGGAGGAGTTCCTGGCCGCGCTGGACACCGGCACCGAGCGCGTCCGGGCGCTCACGGACACCGGCAGGAAGCTGCTGGAGGAGGGCGGCGTCCACGCGGAAAAGGTGCGGGAGACGGTGGAGTCAGTGGAGAGCAGGTGAGAGACCCGTCCCAGTCTGTCCCAGTCCCATCCCAGTCCATCCCAGTCCCATCCCAGTCTGTCCCAGTCCCATCCCATCCCCTGGGAATGGGGTCTCTCACCCCTCCTGGCCCTGGCACAGGCACCAGAAGATCCGGGAATCGGCCCAGGAGCTGCTGGGGCGGCTGCGGGATAACTGGGAGCTGCAGAAGTTCCTGCAGGATGGGCAGGAGGTGAGACGGAGTGGGGATTGGGATAGGATGGGATTGGGATGGGATTGGGATTGGGATGGGGTTAAAATGGGGATGGGGTGAAGAGGAGAACTGGGCTGGGATGGGACTGTAGGAAGAGATCCTGATCTGTGTCCCTGATCCCATTCCTGTCCCCATCCCTGTCCCCATTCCCATTCCTGTTCCCATCCCTGTTCCTGTTCCCATTCCCATTCCTGTTCCCATTTCTGTTCCCATCTCCATCCCCATCCCCATCCCCATTCCCATTCCCATTCCCATTCCCATTCCCATTCCCATCCCTGTCCCCATTCCCATTCCCGTCCCCGTCCCCGTTCCCAGCTGACGCTGTGGCTGAACGAGAAGCTGCCGGTGGCCCGGGACGTGTCCTACGAGGGCACGCGGGACCTGCAGGGCAAGTGGCAGAAGCACCAGGCCTTCGCCGCCGAGCTGGCCGCCAACCGGGGCTGGCTGGAGGCGCTGGAGAAGGTGGGAAAATGGGGAGAAATGGGGGGGAACTGGGGAGAAATGGGGGAAAACTGGGGTAAAATGGGATCCAGGAAGGGGAAGCCCTTGGGAAAGATGGGAAATGGGAGGGGGATGTTGAGTCACAAAATTCTGTGGGTCCAACCTCAGTGATTCTGATTCTGTGGGTCCAACCTCAGTGATTCCGTGGTTCCGTGGGTCCAGCATTAATAATTCCATGAGTCCATGGGTCTGGTTTTGATGGTGCCACCATTCCATGGGTCCAGTCTTCACAATCCCACAATTTACAGGGTCAACCCCAAGGATCCCGTGTAGCATTGACAATTCCTGACTTTTTGGGTCCAAACTTGATGGTTCCATGGGTTTCAATGATCCCATCACCCCATGTGTCCAACCCTCATCACCCCACAACTAAACAAGTCCAACCTCAACAATTCCAACCTTGACATTGCCCATTCTGTGACTTTTTGGGTCCAACCCTGATGGTTCCATGCGTTTCAATGATCCCACCACCCCACGTGTCCAACCGTCATCACCCCACAACTCAACTGATCCAACCTCAACAATTCCACACAATTCCAACCTTGACATTGCCCATTCCATGATGGTTTTGGGTCCAACCCTGACGGTCCCAGGGTCTCTCCCGTAACTCGGTGCCACCATTCCCGTGTCCCGCAGGACGGCGAGCAGCTGGCACGGGCACGTCCAGCCCTGGCCGGACAAGTGACCGCTCCCCGGCAGGAGCTGCGGGCGCTGTGGGCGCAGGTGGAGGCGGCGGCGGCCGCCAAGGGCCGGGGTCTGGCCGAGGCCGCGCGCGCCGAGAGCTGCGCCCAGGCCTGCGCCGGACTGCGCTCGTGGCTGGCCGGGGTCCGCGCCCAGCTCCGCTCCGGCCACTGCGGCCAGGACCTGACCAGCGTGGGGGTCCTGCTGACCCGGCACCAGGTCAGGGCTGGGACATGGGAAACGGGGCTGTGGGGAACGGGGGGAAGGTTTGGGGTGTGGGGTTCAGACACAGGTTTGGGGTTTTGTGTGGGTTTGGATGTGGGTTTGGGATAAGCAGGTTTTGGGGGGAAGGTTTAGGGTGCAAATTTTGGGGTGGGGAGGTTTTGGGATGAAGGTTTAGGGTGCAAATTTTGGGGTGTGAAGGTTTTGGGGTGAAGTTTTAGGGTGCAAATTTTGGGGTGTGAAGGTTTTGGGGTGAAGGTTTCTGATGCAGGATTTGGGTTCAGCTTTTTGGGGATTGGGTTTTTAGGCGCAGGTTTTGTGATGCAGATTTGGGGGTGCAGATTTTGAGTGCAGGTTCTCAAAATCTGCAGGGGTCCAGGTTTTGGGATGCAGATTTGGGGGTGCGGGTCTGTGATGCGGGATTTGGCTGCAGCTTTTAGGGTTCAGGTTTTTGGGGTGCAGATTTTGGGGCTCCCTGGAGGTTTCTCATCCCCCAATTCCCCCGCAGCTGCTGGAGACGCAGGCGGTGCTGTGGGAGCAGGAGCTGGGGGCCCTTTGGGGTGCAGATTTTTGAGTTTTGGGGTGTGCCTGATTCCCAATTTTCCCACAGCTGCTGGAGACGCAGGCGGCGCTGCGGGAGCAGGAGGTGGGGGTGCTTTTGGGGTGCAGATTTTGGGGTTTTAGGTTGTCCCTGACCCCCAATTCCCCGCAGCTGCTGGAGACGCAGGCGGCACTGCGGGAGCAGGAGGTGGGGGCGCTGCGGGCCCAGGCCGGGGGGCTCAGCCCGGGGCACCCCCGGAGCGCGGGGGTGCAGGAGCAGGTGCGGGAGCTGGAGCAGCAGTTCCGGGAGCTGCGGGAGCCGCTGCGGGAGCGCGGGCGGAGCCTGGCGGCCGCCAGGGAGCTGCACCAGTTCCGGAGGGACCTGGAGGACGAGCTCGTGAGTGGGGGGACCCCAAAATCCCCTGGGGTTGCCCGTGCGTGACCCCCCCGTTCCTGACCCCAACGTATCTGACCCCCACCCCATTCCTGGTCCCAAATACCTGACCCTGAATCTGACCCCCCTCCCATTTCTGATCCCAAGTACCTGAACCCCACCCCGTTCCTGACCCCGAATTTCTGACCCTGAATCTCTGACTCCCACCCCATTTCTGATCCCAAATCCTGGACCCCCAATCTCTAAATCCCCCAGCATTCCTGACCCCGAATCTCTGACCCCCACCTCATTTCTGATCCCAAATCTCTGAACCTCAAATTCTGGACCCCCAATCTCTGAATCCCAAATTCTCCCCGCCATGGCTGTTCCTGACCCCCAGGCCTTGAGTTCCCCCCATCCCTGTCCCCACAGTGTAACAGACCCCCAATGACCCCCCAATGTCCCCAATGTCCCTGATGTCCCCAATGTCCCCAGTGACCCCCATGTCCCCAATGTCCTCATTGTCCTCAATGTCCCCACTGACCCCAATGTCCCTGATGTCCCCACTGACCTCCGTGTCCCCACCAATCCCCATGTCCCCAATGTCCCCAGTGTCACTAATGTCCCCAATGTCCCCAGTGACCCCATGCCCCCCCATGTCCCCAGCTGTGGGTGCAGGAGCGCCAGGCCCTGGCCATGTCCACGGACCACGGCAAGGACCTGCCCTCGGTGCAGCTGCTGCTCCAGAAGAACGAGGTGGGTCACAAGGTCCCCAAATGTCCCCCTGTGTCCCCCCAGAGCTTATTCCATGACCCCCACAGACCCCACACTTTCCACTATGAACCCATCATCTCCCTCAAAGACCCCAGGCCCCCCAGTTTCCCCAACTGACCCCCAATCTCCCCCATAACCCCCTCTCAGACCACAACAGACCTCCTAATTTCCCTCATAGACACCCCAATTTCCCTCATAAACCCCCCAATTTCCCCCATAAACCCCTCTCAGACCCCCATAGACCCCCTAATTTCCCTCATAAACCCCTCTCAGATCCCCCCAGACCCCCCAATTTCCCCCATAGACCCCCAAGTTCCCCCAGAAACCCCACCCAGACCCCCCATTTTCCCCCATAGACACCCCATGACCCCTATAAACTCCCCCCAGACCCCCCAGTTTCCCCCATAACCCCCCTGACCCCCTAATTTCCCCCATAAACCATCCCTAGACCCCCAATTTCCCTCACAGACACCCCAATTTCCCCCATAAACCCCTCCCAGACCCCCTAAACCCCCCAATTTCCCTCACAAACCCCCCAATTTCCCTCACAAATCCCCCAATTTGCCCCTCAGACGCTGCAGAAGGAGCTGCAGGGCCGCGAGCGCCGCGTGTCGGAGCTGCTGGAGCGGGGGGCGCTGCCCGGCCCGGGGCTCCCGGAGCCGGGGGTGCCCGGAGGGGTCCCCGGGGGTGTCCCGGAGCCGGGGGTGCCCGATGGGGTCCCCGGGGGGGTCCCGGAGCCGGGGGTGCCCGGGGGGGTCGCGGCCCTGAGGGAGGCCTGGAAGGAGCTGAGGGCGCAGGTGGAGCGGAGGCAGCGGCGCCTGGAGGCCGCGCTGGCCGCCCAGCGCTTCCTGCGCGACGCCGCGGCCGCCGAGGCCTGGCTGGGGGAGCGGGAGCTGCACATGCTGGCCCAGGACAAGGCCAAGGTGGGGGCACAGGGACGGGACACCCCCCTACCCAGGGACGGGATCCCCGCCATGGGGACGGCGGGGTCGCCCACGAATTGGGGGGGGTGGACGGGAGGGGATTTGAGGGGAATTTGGGGGGGTCTGGGGGGGCTCTGGGGGATTGGGAAGGGTCTAGGGGGGGTTCGGAAGGGTCTGGAGGGTCTATGGGGGGCTGTTCAGGGGGATTGGGAAAGGTTTAGGGAGGGTTATAGGGGCCTGGGGGTGTCTGGAGGGTATATGGGGGCATCTGTGATGGATTCAGGGGGATTGGGAAGGGTTTATTGGGTTTTTGGGGCAATCTATAGGGGATCTCTGAGGGTCAGAGGGGATTTGTGGGGGTCTGTGGGGTCTGGAGGGTCAGTGAGTGGCCTGGAGGGGTCAGGGGCACCCACAGGACCTGCTGGGGGTGGTGACAGCCCCGCGGTGTCCCTGTGGTGTCCCCAGGACGAGCCGGGCGCCCAGGCCATGCTGAGCCGGCACCTGGGGCTGGAGCAGGAGCTGCGCGACTACGGCGGCACCGTGGAGCTGCTGGCGGAGCAGGGCCGGGCCATGGCGGGCAGCGGGCACCCCGACGGGTGGGGACACCTGGGGACACCTGGGGACACCCACGGGATGCTCTGGGGACACCCGAGAGGGACACGTTGGGAACACCCTGGGGACACCAGATGGGTGGGGACACCCTGGGGACACCCTTGGACACCCTGGGGACACTCCTGGGACACCCTGGGGACACCCTGGGGACACCTCTGCATGGCCACCGTGATCCTTGACAGCCTTGTCCCCTGAGGTCCCTGTGTCCCCTGTGTCCCCTGTTGCCTTGTCCGTTGTCACTGATGTCCCCGTGTTTCCCCTGACACTGCTGTCCCCTTGGTGACACCTCTGTCCCTCTGGTGACATGGCTGTCCGTGACCCCCCTGTCCCTGTCCCCTGCAGCGAGCGGCTCCGTGCCCGCGCGGCGCAGCTGCAGCGTCTCCACGCGGGGCTGTGCCACCTGGCCGGGGAGCGCAGGGCCACCCTGCAGGGCCACCACCGCCTGTGCCAGCTGCGCCGCGACCTCGATGACCTGGAGCAGTGGATCTCGGAGAGAGAGGTGGTGGCGGCGTCCCGGGAGCTGGGACAGGACTTCGAGCACGTCACGGTGAGGGGACACTGAGGGGACACGGGGGGACACGGGTGTTGTGACACTGAGGGGACACTGAGGGGATATGGGGGGACACGGGCACTATGACACTGAGGGGACACTGAGGGGACACGGGGGACACGGGTGTTGTGATACTGAGGGGACACTGAGGGGACACTGAGGGGACATGGGTGTTGTGACACTGAGGAGACACGAGGGGACATGGGAGACAAGGGTGTTGTGACACTGACCCCCTGTCCTCTGTCCCCCTGTCCCCTGACCCCTGTCCACCTGTCCACCTTTTGCCTGTCCCTTGACCTGTCCCCTGACCTTTGTCCCATGTCCCCCTGTCCCCTTGACCCCTGTCCCCCTGACCCCTATCTCGTGTCCCTCTGTCCCCTGTCCCCTGTCCTGTGTCCCATGTCCCCCTGACCCTCCCTGATCCCTATCCCATGTCCCTGTGTCCCCCGACACCTGTCCCATATCCCCATGCCCCCCTGATCCCCTGTCCTTTGTCTGTCTGTCCCCGTGTCCCCGTGTCCCCATGTCCCCTGTCCTCCATCCCCTGACCCCTGTCCCGTGTCCTTTGTCCCCTGTCCTGTGTCCCCCATGTCCCCCCGTCCCCATGTGCCCCATGTCCCCTTGTCCCTCATCCCCCATCCCCTGACGGTGTCCCCCGTCCCCTGACGGTGTCCCGTGTCCCCGCAGCTGCTGCGGGACAAGTTCCGCGAGTTCTCCCGGGACACGGGCGGGCTGGGCCAGGAGCGGGTGGACGCGGCCAACGCGGCGGCGGCGGCGCTCATCTCCGGGGGCCACCCCGAGCGCGCGGCCGTGGCGCAGTGGCAGGCGGGGCTCAACGAGGCCTGGGCCGAGCTGCTGGAGCTGGTGGCCACGCGGGCGCAGGAGCTGGCGGCCGCCCACGACCTGCAGCGCTTCCGCCGCGACGCCCGGCAGGTGCTGGAGCAGCTCCGCGCCAAGGCCCGGCAGGTGCCCGAGGAGCTGGGCCGGGACCTGCGCGGCGCCGAGGGGCTGGAGAGGCAGCACCGCGCCTTCGAGCACGACGTGCAGGCCCTGAGCGTGCAGGTGAGGGGATGGACAGGGGACAGGGGACAGGTGAGGGCATGGGGATGGGGACAGGGGACAGGTGAGGGCAGCACCGCGCCTTCGAGCACGACGTGCAGGCCCTGAGCGTGCAGGTGAGGGGACAGGGAGGGGGACAGGTGAGGGCAGCACCATGCCTCACAATGTGCAGGCCCTGAGCGCCCAGGTGAGGGCACGGAGACGGGGACAGGGACAGGGGACAGGGACAGGTGAGGGCATGGGGATGGGGACAGGTGAGGGCAGCACCGCGCCTTCGAGCACGATGTGCGGGCCCTGAACACGCAGGTGAGGGCATGGGGACCGCCAGGGGACAGGGACAGGTGAGGGGCATGTGAGGGACACCTTGTGGTGTAGGAGGTGGCTGTGAATGGGATATGTCACCTGTACCATGTCACACCTGTTACACCTGTCCCACCTGCAGGCCGCCTGTCCCACCTGTTCCATGTCACACCTGTCCCATGTCACACCTGTCCCGTATCACACTGTCCTATATCTCACCTGTCCCACCTGTCCCCAGGTGTCGGCCGTGCAGGAGTCCGCTGCCCACCTGTCACACCTGTCCCATGTCACATATATCACACCTGTCCCACCTGTCCCATATCACACGTGTCTCACCTGTCCCATGTCCCCAGGTGTCGGCCGTGCAGGAGTCCGCCGCCCGCCTGGCCGCGGCGTACGCGGGCCCTCGCGCCGAGGAGCTGCGGGCGCAGGAGGGCGCGGTGGCCGCGGCCTGGGCCGAGCTCCGCGGGCGCTGCCAGCGCCGGCGCCGCCTGCTCGGGGACAGCGTGGAGCAGTTCCGGTTCCTGCGCGCCGCCCGCGACCTGCGGCTCTGGATGGACGGCGTGCAGCTGCAGCTGCAGGCCCGCGAGAGGCCCAGGTGCGGCTGGGGACAGGGGGACACCCTGGGGACACTGCGGGGACAGGGGGGACATGGGGACACTGCAGGGATATGGGGGCATGGGGACACTGTGGGGACACTGCGGTGACAGGGGAACATGGGGACACCCTGGGGACACTGCGGGGACAGGGGAACATGGGGACACTGCAGGGATATGGGGGACATGGGGACACCATGGGGACACTGCGGGGACAGGGGGGACATGGGGACACTATGGGGACACTGCGGGGACAGGGGGGACATGGGGACACCGTGGGGACAGGGAAGATACAGGGACACCACAGGGATGGGTGGTGACAGCACTGGGACATAGGGACAATGCAGGGACACTGAAGGGACAGGGGGGACTGGGGACATGGGGACAATGCGGGGACACTGCGGGGATGGGGGGGACGTGGGGACACCATGAGGACCTGGGGACACCATGGGGACACTGCAGGGACAGGTGGGGCTGGGGACATGGGGACACCATGGGGGACACTGCGGGGATGGGGGGGACTGGGGACATGGGGACACTGTGGGGATGGGGGGACATGGGGACACCGCGGGGACACTGCGGGCACAGGGGGGACATGGGGACACCGTGGGGACACTGCAGGGACAGGTGGGGCTGGGGACACCACGGGGACATGGGGACCCTGCGGGGATGGGGTGTGACAGCACTGGGATGTGGGGACACTGAGGGGACAGGGGGAAAACATGGGGACACCACGAGGATGGGAGGGACACGGGGACACTGTAGGGATAGGGGGGACACAATGACATCACGGGGACAGGGGGGACACGGGGACACTCTGGGGATGGAGGGGACACTGTGCAGACACAGGGACACCACAGGGACAGGAGGGAACAGCACTAGGACACAGGGACACCATGGGGACACATGGGGACACACAGGAACATGAGGACACACATGGAGACATCTCAAGGACACCGCAGTGACCCCAGTGCGGGGCTGTGACCGCGGCCACCCTGGTGGCCCTGCCCTGCCCACCGTGCCCAGGCAGAGCCAGGTGACCCCGTGGTGTCCCCGTGGTGACGCCCTGGTGTCCCTGTCCCCGTCAGGGATGTCACCGCGGCCGAGCTGCTGATCCAGCAGCACCAGGGGCTGCGGGCGGAGCTGGAGGCGCGCGAGGGCTCCTTCGGGGCCGCCGTGGCCGCGGCCACCGCGCTGCTGCAGCGGGGCCACCACGACGCCGACAAGGTGGGACAGCCTGGCACCGTGTCACCACCCCGGCACCGTGTCACCCTGGCACCGTGTCCTCATCCTTCTGTCACCCTGGCACTGTGTCACCCTGTCACCGTATTCTCATCCCTGTGTCACCCTGTCACCGTGTCACCCTAGTCCTGTATCACCCCATCCCTGTGTCACCCTGGCACCGTGTCCTCATCCCCAGCTCTCTGTCCTTGGCACTGTCCCCAAGTCCCCAGCCCCACATCCCTCGTTCAAATCCTCGTCTCCAGAGCGCTGTCCCCATCCTGTGTCCCCTCATGTCCCTGTCACTGTGTCCCACCTCTGTATCTCCATCCCCATGTCTTTGTCCCCATCCTGTCCCCAAGCTCGTCCCCTGTCCCTGTCCCCGTCAGCGTGTCCCAATCTTTGTCCCCTCCCCTGTCCCCGTGTCCCCCCAGCTGTCCCAGGAGCTGGCCGAGCTCCAGGAGCGCCGCAGGGACATCGGGGAGCGCTGGCAGGACAAGCTGGAGTGGCTGCAGACTGGTGAGGACTGGGGACACCACGGGTCCCCTTGTGTCCCCCTCATGTCCCCTGTGTCCCCTCATGTCCCCTGTGCCAGGCCCCCACCCAGAAGGTGCAAACTGAGGGGTCCCTGTGCCCGCGTCCCTGTCAAAGGGGGCAGGGGTGGCAAAGGAGTGTCCCTGTGTCCCGTGTCCCCTTCAGTGCCCAGGGGTGTCTCAGGGGTGTCCCTGTGTCCTGTGTCCCCTCTCAGTGCCCAGGGGTGTCTCAGGGGTGTCCCTGTGTCCCCTCTCAGTGTCCAGGGGTGGCTCAGGGGTGTCCCTGTGTCCCCTCTCAGTGTCCAGGGGTGGCTCAGGGGTGTCCCTGTGTCCCCTCTCAACACCCAGGGGTGGCTCAGGGGTGTCCCTGTGTCCCCTCTCAGTGCCTGGTGGCAGCTCAGGGGTGTTCCTGTGCCCTTGTCCTCTCTCAGTGCCCAGGGCAGGGCTCAGGAGTGGCACAGGGGTGGCTCCAGGGTGGCTATGGGGTGTCCCTGTCCCCTCTGGTGACTGTCCCTGTGTCCCCAGTGCTGGAGGTGCTGGTGTTCGGGCGCAATGGCCGTGGTGGCTGTGCCAGGGGTGGCTCTGCAGTGGCACAGGGGTGGCACAGGGCTGTCCCTGTCCCCTCTGGTGACCGTCCCCGTGTCCCCAGTGCTGGAGGTGCTGGTGTTCAGGCGCAATGGCCGTGGTGGCTGTGCCCAGGGGTGGCACAGGGGTGTGTCTGGGCTGTCCCTGTCCCCTCTGGTGACCGTCCCCGTGTCCCCAGTGCTGGAGGTGCTGGTGTTCAGGCGCAATGGCCGTGGTGGCTGTGCCCAGGGGTGGCACAGGGGTGGCTCTGGGCTGTCCCTGTCCCCCCTGGTGACCGTCCCCGTGTCCCCAGTGCTGGAGGTGCTGGTGTTCGGGCGCGACGCGGCCACGGCCGAGGCCTGGCTGGCCAGCAGGGAACCCCTGGCCCGTGCCCCCGAGCTGGGCTCCAGCCTGGCCGAGGCCGAGACCCTCCTGAAACGGCACCAGAGCTTCCAGAAGGCGGCGGCGGCCTGGGAGGAGAGATTCGCTGCCCTGAGCCGCCTCACCACGGTGGGGACACGGGGACAGGACATGAGGACAGGGGGGGATGAGGGGGACATGGGGGTAAAATGGGGACAGGGGGACATGGGGGGGGGGGGGGAAATGGGGATGGGGGGACAGGGTGGGACAGGGGGGAAACATGGGGACAGGGAGACATGGAGGACATGGGGCGACTGTGGGGACAGGGGGGAAAATGGGGAGGGGGACATGGAGGGACAGGGGGGGAAATGGGGATGGGGGGACAGGGTGGGACAGGGGGGAAACATGGGGACAGGGAGACATGGAGGACATGGGGCGACTGTGGGGACAGGGGGGAAAATGGGGAGGGGGACATGGAGGGACAGGGGGGGAAATGGGGAAAGGGCACAGGGGGAAAATGGGGGGCACAGGGAGGGGACGTGGCAAGGACAAGGGGGGGTGGGCACTGGAGCCACTGTGACCCCAAGGGGACACAGCTGAGGGTCCCTGTGTCCCCCCCACGCCCTCGGGGGTGTCCCCATGGGATCCCTGTGTCCCCCCCATCACCGGGGTGTCCCTGACCCCCCCAGCTGGAGGAGAAGGAGCGGCGGCGGCGGCAGCAGGAGGAGGAGGAGGCGGCGAGGAAGCTGCAGCCCCCCGAGCCCCCCCCGGCGCAGGCCCAACTCGGGGGGACCCCCCCGGTGGTGCCCCCCGAGAGCCAGGACGGGGGAGGGGGCGGGGAGGGGCCGAGGTGAGGGGGGGGCGAGGTGGGGGGGGGATTTTGGGGGGGGGAACATTGAGATTTGGGGGGGGGTTGGGAGACCCCCGCGTTTAGGGGGGTCCGGAGGAGGGGGAGGTGTGAGATTTGGGGAGGGGGCTCTGGGGGTGACAAGGGAGTGTCCCCCATGTCTCCACCCCCCCCAGGGCCACGCCCACCCCCCAGAGCCGCCCCCCGGAGCCCCCGGCCCTCAACGGGATCCGCCCCGATGGCGCCGCGGGCCAGGTAACGCCCCCCACCCCGACCCCCCCCAAATGCGGGGAGACACCCCCGGACCCCCCTGTGGGACCCCCCCCTCAGCCCTGTGCCCCTCCCCAGGTCCCCAAAGCGGCCCAGGAAGGGGGGCCCGGCCCGGGGGGAGGGGCGGCCACGCTGCCCCCCCGCGCCCCCCCCCAGCCCGAGACCCTCGAGGGGGGGCTGTGCCGGAAACAGGAGCTGGAGGCGCCCGGCAAGAGAGCCACCAACAGGTGAGGGGGGACACGCCTGGGGACACATGGGGACACTGCCGGGCCTTGGCGACACACCTGGAGACACCTGGGGACACCTTGGGGACATGGCCTGGAATTAGGGATACACCTGGAGACACCTGGGGACACCGCCCGGCCTTGGGGACACCCTGGGGACACCTTGGGGACAAGGCCCAGCCTTGGGGACACACCTGGGGACATCCTGGGGACATGTTGGGGACACTGCTGGGCCTTGGGGACAACTTGGGGACACCTGGGGACACCTTGGGGACATGGCCTGGAATTAGAGATACACCTGGAGACACCTAGAGACACCGCCCGGTCTTGGGGACACCCTGGGGACACCTTGGGGACATGGCCAGGCCGTGGGGACACCCTGGAGACACGCCCCATTCATTGCCACGCCCCCTTTACCTTCCCACACAAGCCACGCCCCTTGATACGCACAGACCACGCCCCTTCACACACACACACACCCCCCCGCATGTCACCGCCTTATATGGGCATCATGACTCCGCCCACACGACCGCGCCCTTCAATCGCCACGCCCATTAAGTGCCACGCCCCTCCCTTAAAGTCACAACGGCCCCCAGGTCCTGGCAGAGCCAGGGATGTGTCTGGAGGGGTGGGGGTCCCCTAAATCCCTCTTAACCCCCGCAAACCCCCCCTGTGACCCCTCTGTGCCCTCCAGGTCCTGGCAGACCCAGGGCTGCGTCCTCAGGGGGTGAGGGTCCCCTAAATCCCCCCTGAGACCCCCCCATGACTCCTCTGTGACCCCCCCAGGTCCTGGCAGAGCCGGGGCTGTGTCCTGAGGGTGGGGGTCCCCTAAACCCCCCTGTGCCCACCAGGTCGTGGCAGAGCCAGGGTTGTGTCTGGAGGGGTGGGGGTCCCCTAAACCCCCTGCGACCCCCCCAGCGACACCCCCAGACCCCAGGCAGACCCTAGGCTGTGTCCTGAGGGCGGGGGTCCCCTAAACCCCCCCTGTGCCCCCCAGGTCGTGGCAGAGCCTGTACTGCGTGCTGCGGGGGGGGGTCCTGAGCGTGTTCAAGGACGCGCGGGGGGCTGGCGCGGGGGTCCCGTACCACGGCGAGCCCCCCACCCCCCTGCGCGGGGCCCGCTGCCAGCCCGCCACCGCCTACCGCAAACGGAAACACGTCTTCAGGCTGGGGTAACCGGGGGAAATTGGGGCAAATGGGGGGGAGAATAAAGGAAAAATTGGGGGGAAATGGGGAGAGAATGGGGGGAAATTGGGAGGATAATAGGGAGAAAATTGGGGGGAGAATAGGGGGGAAATGAGGGAAATTGAAGGAAAAAGGGGGAAGAATATGGGGAAAATGGGGGGAGAATGGGGAAGGAAAATGGGGGGAAATTGGGGGAGAATGGGGAGAGAATGGGGGGAAAATGAGGGGAAAATTGGGGTAAAATGGGGGGGAAATGAGGGGGAAAATGAGGGGAAATTGGGGCAGAAATTGGGGGAAAATGGGGGGAAATTGGGGCGGAAATTGGGGGGAAATGGGGGGAAATGTGGGGAAATGGGGAAAAAGGGGAGAAAAGACAGAAAACAAAAGTGGGAATATTGGGGCAGGGAAATGGTTAAAAATGGGGGAAAGATGGGGAAAAATGGGGGCACATGAGGGAGTCACGATGGGGGGCTGGGGGGGTGCTGGAGGCTGATCCCGGCGCCCCCCCAGGCTGAGCGATGGGAAGGAATTCCTGTTCCAGGCTAAGGACGAGGTGAGACCCCCCCGCATTGTCCCCTCGGTGTCCCCCCGATGTCCCCTGCCCCCCCATGTCTCCACTGTCCCCATGTGTCCCTCCAATGTCCACTGCCCCCCTCGGTGTCCCCATTGTCCCCTCAGTGTCCCCACTGTCCCCTCAGTGTCCCCACTGTGCCTCCAATGTCCCCACTGTCCCCTGGTTGTCCCTTCAGTGTCCCCACTGTCCCCATGTCCCCCCCAGGCCGACATGGCGCTGTGGCTCCGGGCCATCGAAGCCGCCGCCACCTCCGCCGGGGCCGTGCCGGGCTCGGGGTTGCCCCGGGAGGGTTCGGGGGTGCCCGGGGGTCCCCCCAAGGCGATGTCGAGGGCCCTGAGCCTCCCCCCGGTGCCCCCCCCAGCCGAGGGAGCCCCCCGGGCCCGCGAGCACAAGGAGAGGGAGAAACGCTTCAGCTTCTTCAAGAAGAACAAATAGAGACGGAGAGTTTGGGGGGTCCCGTGGGAACGGAGGGACACGGGGGGGACACGGGGGGGGCTCGGTGTGTGTCCCCCCCTCCCCTGTCCCGGTGATGTCACCGTGCAGCCCCCACCCCAATAAAGTGATTGGAGACAGAGACTGGGGGGTCTGAGTGTGCTGGGGAGAGGGTGGGGGGGACTGGGAGGGACTGGGGGGGACTGGGATGGGATTGGGAGGGACTGGGATGGATTGGAGGATACTGGGAGGGACTGGGATGGGATTGGGAGGGACTGGGATGGATTGGAGGATACTGGGAGGGACTGGGAGGGACTGGGGGAAACTGGGAGAGACTGGGGAGGGCTGGGATGGACTGGGAGGGACTGGGGAGGGACTGGGATGGACTGGGGGGTGATAGGGGGGAGTGGGAGGGAACTGGGGGAGACTGGGATGGGATGGAAATGGGACTGGGATTGGGATGGAAATGGGATGGGATGGGATGGGATGGGTCGGTTTCAGACTGGAAAGGGGCTTCGCCAAGGGCGGCGGCTCCCAGTACGAACCTCAGCATTCCCAGTGCTCCCAGTATGGACCCCAATGTACCTCTAGTGCTGCCAGTGCTCCCAATACCCCCAGCACCCCCAGGATTCCCTGCACTCCCAATACCCGCAGTGACCCCAGTACAGGGCCCAGAGCTCCCAGTACAGGGCCCAGCGCTCTCAGTACGGCTTCCAGCGCTCCCAGTACAGGCCCAGTGCTTCCAGTACAGCTCCCAGTGCTCCCAGTACAGCTCCCAGTACGGCTCCCAGGGCTCCCACGGCAGGCCCAGTGCTCCCAGTACGGCTCCCAGTGCTCGACGCCCCCCCCGCCATGAATGGACCGCCCCCGCCCCCCCCGCCGTACCCTCATGGACCGCTCCACCCTTCGCTCCGCCCTCTCCCTCCCCTGATTGGCTGCGGCCGCGCTGTGGGCGGAGCCACCTGGCGGATCGATGACCTCACGCTGCGGATTTTGACGGACACCGCCGGCGGCCAATGAGTGCGCGGGAGGCGGGGCGGGGCCGGGAGACGCCGCCGCCATTTTGTGAGCAGCGCGCGGCGGACGGGGCAGGTGGGGGCGGGGGGGCCCGGGCGGGGGGTTCGGGACCGGGAACCGGGAACCGGGAACCGGGACCGGGACCGGGAACCGGGACCGGGACCGGGGGGGACACAAGGGCCAGGCCCGGCCATCGCCCCGCTGGGGCGCCCGCAGGCCGCGGCGGATGCGATCCGGGATGGTTCGCGGGAGATCTCGGGCCTGTGGAGGGGAGGGGTTTGGGGGGGTCTCAGATCGGAGGGGTCTCAGGCCTGAGAGGGACACGAGGGGTTTGGGAGGGTCTCAGGCCTGGGGGGTTTGGGGTTCGGGGCGTGGCGCTGCCCTCTGGGGGTCGCAGAGATTTTGGGGTGTTTGGGGGCTCTGCCCTGCAGGACAAGGGATATCACAGACTGAGGTGCATTTTGGGGTTTCAGGGGTTTAAGGTCTTTTTTTGGGGGGTGTTTGTGGGCACAGGGTAGGAGTGGGACAGCAGAACTTTGGGGTGTTTATTTTGGGGGGGAATTGAGGTGTTTGAGGCTCCGCCCTGAAGGAGCAGAAGGAAAATTTGGGGGGGATTTGGGGTGTTTGGGGCTGTGCCCTGTAAAAGGGGCCTCAGCCCCGGGGGCTACCATGAGGTTTTTGAGGAGATTTGGGGTGTTTGAGACTATGCCCTGAATGAGCAGGGGCAGAGTTTTGGGGTGTTTATTTGAGGAGATTTGGGGTCTTTGGGAATACAGCCCCAGGGACACACACAGATATTTGGGGGTGTTATTTGAGGGGTGTGTGGGGGTCCAGCCCCAAGGCTTGGGATGTTTCAGATTTGGGCCATAACCCTGTGCACACAAACAGAGACTCAGGGTGTTTATTTGGTGTTTTGGGGGATACACACCCCTAGAGGTTTGAGGTGTCTGAGGAGGATTTAAGGTGTTTGTGGGCACAGCCCTGGGCACACACACAGAGGCTTGGGTTGTTTTTCAGGGGTTTTGGGGCTGTTTTTGAACACAGCTTCGGGCACATTCACAGAAGCTCGAGCTGTTTTTTGGGGGGCACAGCCTCGGGCACACAGAGAGAGATTCAGGATGATTTAGGGAATTTTTGGGCACACTCACAGAGGCTTAGGCTGTTTCTTGGGGGTTTTGACAGGCACAGCCCTGGGCACAAATAGGGAGGTTCAGGGTGATTCAGGGAATTCACACTCACAGATGCTCAGGGTGTTCCTCGGGGCGTTGTGGGGCTGCGTGTAGGCTGTTCCTTGGGGGTTTTCGGGGCTGTTCCTTGGTGCATTTTGCAGTTGTGTGTGGGCTGTTCCTCGGGGCGTTTTGGGGCTGCTTCTCGAGGGGTTTTGGGGCTGTGTGTGGGCAGCTCCTCAGGGGGATTTAGACTGTTCCTCGGTGTGTTTAGGGGTTGTGTGTGGGCTGTTCCTCGGGTGCTTTCAGGGCTGTTCCTCGGGCTGTTCCTCAGGGGGTTTCGGGGTTGTGTGTGGGCAGTTCCTCGAGCTGTTCCTCGGGGGTTCTGGGGCTCACGGCGGCGCTGTCCGGCGCAGGCGGGTCGCGATGGTGAAGCTGTTCATCGGGAACCTGCCGCGGGAGGCGACGGAGCAGGAGATCCGCTCCCTGTTCGAGCAGTACGGGAAGGTGCTGGAGTGCGACATCATCAAGAACTACGGCTTCGTGCACATCGAGGACAAGACGGCGGCCGAGGACGCCATCCGCAACCTGCACCACCACAAGCTGCACGGCGTCTGCATCAATGTGGAGGCCAGCAAGAACAAGAGCAAGGCCTCCACCAAGCTGCACGTGGGCAACATCAGCCCCGCCTGCACCAACCTAGAGCTGCGCGCCAAGTTCGAGGAGTACGGCCCCGTCATCGAATGTGACATCGTCAAGGACTACGCCTTCGTGCACATGGAGCGGGCCGAGGATGCCGTGGAGGCCATCCGGGGGCTGGACAACACCGAGTTCCAAGGTGAGCCGTGGGGCTGGGCGGTGGGAGGGCTCCGGGGTCCATGGTGGATGCTCCCGCCGGCCCCGTCCGGGGTCGATCCCGGACGTGACCACGGCCGTCTCCGCGGGGCCGTGCAGCGCCCTCGGGGCTCTGGGGTTGGTGTTGGTTGGTGCCCGCCCCGCCGCAGCTCCCGGGGCCGCCCGCGCGGCGCGGCCGGAGCGAGGGCTCGGGCTCGGGGGCTCTGGGCCGGGGAGGACGGGACTGACCCATCTCTGATTAACCAGCACGGCCGCCCCGCAGGAGGACCCCGACGGCGACGTCCTGTGCCGGGCCGGAGCAGCGGGTGACGCCAGGCTGCCGCCCGCCCTTGTAGCCTTTGCCCAGCCTGGTAAGAGGGTGACGGAGGCGCCCGACCCCGCGCCCGGCGTCGCTCGGGCGCTCGACGGGGCCGAGCGGCCGGACTCGAGCCGCGGCGCTGGCGGCGGTGATGGCGAGCGCGTCTCCCGGCCGGGTGCTCAGGGCGGCGTCCGGCGCTTCACCCACGTGGCGGCGGGGCTGGACCGGGCACTCCCGGTGCTGCCGGGGCTCTACATGTCCCGCCGCCCCCATTCCGGGCCTTCCCCAAAAAACAGCGACCCAGCCGGGCTGGCACAGCTGCACCCAGAGCTGTCCAGGCTGCGTCCGCGCTTGGCTTTGCCTCGTGCCGCGCTCGGGCAGGGCCCTGTTCGCACCGGGGCGCTTCCCGGTGTCGCATCCCTCTCTCCGCCGCTCCGGCGTTTTCCGGCGCGAAGCTTTGCCGTCACACGGGGCCGGCAGTGCTGGCTCTGACCCCGGGCTGCCGGGGCTTTGCCGGGCTGGCTGGCGAGGCCGCGCTCGGCCGTGGCAGCACGTCCCGGTCGGCCGCTGTCCGGCGTCCATCTGGTGGCTCACACTCGGTCCTGCGACGGCTCCTCCCGCGCCGGTGGCTGCGGAGGGCTGGGGGGGGTGGCAGCCGGTGCCGTCCTGTCCCGCCGGTGCCCCGGCACGGCTGCACTGACCCTGCCTCTCGCGTCTCTCCCCAAGGCAAGCGGATGCGCGTGCAGCTGTCCACCAGCCGGCTGCGGACGGCGCCCGGGATGGGAGACAAGAGCGGCTGCTACCGCTGCGGGAAGGAGGGGCACTGGTCTAAGGAGTGCCCGGTCGATCGCCCGGGGCAAGTGGCGGACTTTGCCGAGGCCTATAACGAGCAGTACGGAGCCGTGCGCACTCCCTACACCGCGGGCTATGGGGAGACCGTGTATTACGATGAGGCCTACGGCGGGATGGCCGACTACTACAAGCGCTACCGCGTCCGCTCCTACGCCACGGCCTCGGCGTACGACGCCTACGCGGAGCAGACCATGGCCCAGTACTCCCAGTACGCCCAGTACTCCCAGGTCCAGTCCTCGGCCATGGCCGCCACCACGGCCATGGCCGGCCGCATCCCCACCACCTTAGACGCGTACGACCGAGCGCTGCTGCCCACCCCGGGCGCGGCGGCTGCCGTCGCCGCCGCCGCCGCCACCGCCGCGGCCGCCGCCGCGTCCTCCACGTATTACACCCGGGACAGGAGCCCCCTGCGCCGCACGGCCGCCGCGGCCAGCACCGTCGGAGAGGCGTACACGTACGAGCGTGGGCAGCTGTCGCCCGTCTCCTCGGTGGCCCGGGCGTCCCTCTACGACATGCAGCGCTTCGGGCGGGACCCGTACGCGGACCGGGCGCGATACTCCGCCTTTTGAGCCGGAGGTGAGCGCGTTGTTGGCTCTCGGCACCGCGGGGTGGCCCCGCTGCCGGTGGTCCCGGTTGTGCCAGTTGAGGTTGAGGCGGGTGACGGGTCACGGTGACACGGACAGGCCCCACGGGCGTTAAAGCCCGGCCGTGGTGAGGAGGCGCCGTGGTGAGCGGAGCGGTGCTGGTGTCACTGTCATGGCTGTATCTCACGTTCCTGCTGGGCCGGGCGCCGTCCCGGCACAGTCCCTGCGGGGTGGGGGGTTCCCGCAGAGCCCCCAGCCCGGGGGCAGCTCCTGCTCGCTCGGGCTGTGCCCAGGTCCCGGCGGGCCCAGGGTCCGAGGGGGCCGGAGCCCCGCCGCTGCTCCACGTCAGGATTCTCTTGCTGCCAGGAAGCCGCAGCTCCCCAGGGCACCGGGGCTCGGCACGGTTCCGGATCGGCCCCGGGGGCACCTGCGCCAACTCCTCTTTTCTCTTACAGGTAAGATTTGTGCGGCTGGACGTCGGGGTCCCGTCGCACGCCGACTCGGCGCCGCGCGTCTCAGGCCGCGCCGGGTGCCACCGCCGCCGCGTGCCGCTCCCGGGCCCGTTCCTTATGGACGCGCGGCTCGTCCTCAGCCCGGGCAGGATTAGCTCAGCCCCTCCCCCAGCTTCCCCCGCCCCCCTGGGCAGGATTTTGCTTTTCCAGGTAGTTTTGGGTCCCCACCCCAGGCTCAGGTGTGAGCGCGCAGCCGCCGCCGTCCCCCAGCGCCAGCTTTGCTTTGCTTCGCCGCCCCCCCGCTCCCCCGGAGCTCTTCCCGAGTCGTCGTTTTGCCTTTTTTTTTTCCTTTTATTTTTTAAGAGGGTGGATAATCCAGTGGTAGGTTTTTAGCCCAACGCTGTAGCTGACCGGAGGCCGTCGCGCCGCGCCGGCGGGGGTGGAACCCCCCGAGTGATTTAGAGTCCCCCGACCCCACTTTCCAGTAAAATAAAACTCAAAATTTTTAACAAACGGCGCTGGCTCCACCCACGGCTCTTTCTTTGCACTCACGTCCCCTCAGAACACGGCACGGAACATTCTGGACTCCCCGGTGCTGCCTGTGCCCTGGCTGGCTCTGTCTCCAGGGAGGGGCTACTGCAAACGGCAACACCCCCAAAACCATCCTTGAGCCCCCCAAAGGGGCACCCATGGGTGACAGAGGGGCTTTAAGGCCCAGCTCTTCCTCCTCCCCATGGGCAGCAGGAGCAGCCACTTAACCTGCCCAGGGCTAATTAGTCTGCAGACTGTCTTGTTTGTCCCCAGATTGCTCCTGCCTTCCGGTGTTCATTAATTAAGGTCATTAAGCCCAGGACATGCCTTTGGTGATGCTGCCGGTTCTGCCTTGCCAGCGCCAATCGGTGCCGTGATCACTCGCGGGTGCTGCCATCGCCACACCTGGGGACGTGGGGCCAGGGATGTGTGACCACCCTGGGGAGGAGGGGAGAAGCGTCAGATCCTCCTGCCTGGGTATTAACCATAGTGGTTAATGAGCCTTGGCCATCCCTCCTGTGGCACAGCCAGACTGGGCTGTGACTGGTCCCTGGGGAGAGATGGGGACAGGAAGCGCCTCTCACAGTGGTGACAGCGGTACATGACATGGCACATACCACCCCTCAAAACCAGCTTTTCTCACCCAAAACAAGCCCCGGCACAGGTCAGTGCCGGTGATCCTGTGCGGTGGTGTCGTGGCAGGGCCAGTCTGGCCCTTCCTGCTGCCAGCTCTGAACGCTGCTCATCCTCCAAATCCACTCCTCCGTGGTGGGAAAGCAGCTCCAGCATTGGCAGCACCATCAGCCAGGGCTGGGTGGTGACGGTGGCACTGGGAGGTGTCCCCAGGGGTGGGAATGGACCCCCAGGACTGGGAAAGAACCAGGCGGGAGGCATCGGGAACCGGAGCAAACCCCAGCATTTATTTACAGTCATAAAAACCCCCAGCACCGTGCCGGGCCTGATGCTGGAAACAGGGAATTCACCCAAAAAATGGGACAACTTGTGGTATAAAAGAGTCTGAGCCACATGGCTGCAACCAGTGGCAGGTTATGAACCGGCACCGAGCGCCAGCGGCGGATGAACCGTGCGGCCACTGCCAACCGTAACCGTGGAACCTTCTAAAAAACTCAAACAGCAAAACCAGAAAGAATCGGCTGAAAAAGAACCGTCCGTGCCCCGGCGGGGCCGTGGCCAGCTCAGAGGCGGCGCTGGTAGCCCGAGTGGATGCGGGCGGGGGGCAGGTAGTCGCTGTAGCCGCCCGAGTAGCGGGCGTACTCAGGGTGCGCGTCCGGCAGCCGGCGGTAGTCCAGCGGGGACTTGGTGGGCGAGCGGCGATACGCCAGCGGAGAGTCCGCTAGGCGCCGGTAATCGGCCAGCTCGGACAGACGGCGCTCGGAGCCGTACCTGGGCGAGAGAAGAGAGGGGGATCAGCCAGGAGGGGACGGGGCTCGGATCCGCCGCGGCAGCACCGTGTCCCACCTGGGGACGCACCGCGATGGGCAAAGCCGGCGCAGGACGGGATCGGATGCCACGGAGACCCCGCTGTGTGCCACCGCCTCCCCTCACCCGCACCAAGCCCCATCCCCTCCCCGGGATCTGCACGGCGCGAGCGGAGCCATGGCGCCCACCGCGCCGGGCGACAGCGAGCCGCACCGGTGCCACGTGGCACCGGTCAAGCCGCGAGCGGTGCGCCGGAGCCCGGCGAGCCGGCGAGCAGCGGGAGGCAGGGGCGGGGGTCGGTGCCCCGCCCGGCACCGTACCTTTTAGCCAGAGAGGACGATTTTTTGTACGGGTCGTCGTAGGCGGCGCTGCGAGGCGGGGAGAGGCGGGTGCGCTCGTAGGGCGGTGCGGCGGCGGCCTGCGGCAGGCCCAGGTAGGAGCCCGCCGGCTGCCCCAGCTGGCTCGGCCCGTCGTAGGCGCTGCCGGGCTGGGCTCGGTACGCGGCCGCCAGCGCGGCGGAGGACGGCTGCTGCGCCGGGTAGGAGGCCGCCATGGCGCCGGAGGCCTGCGCCCGGTACGCGGCCGTCAGCGGGGCAGAGGCCTGCGCCTTGTAGGAAGCGGCGGCGACGGCGGCCTGGCTGCCGTAGGACGCGGCCAGCGAGGAGCCCGTCTGCGCGCCGTAGCCGGCGGGGAGCGCGGCGGCCGCGGGCTGGCTGCCATAGGACGCGGGCAGGCCCGCGGCGGGCTGGGCGCCGTACGAAGCCGAGTGGCCCACGGTGGGCTGGGCGCCGTACGAGGTGGACAGCGCGGGTTGGGCACCGTAGGAGGCAGAGTGGCCGGCCACGGGCTGGTAGGCAGCGGCGGCGTGACCTGCCACAGCCTGGGCGCTGTAAGAGCTGGCGTGCACCGCCACGGCCTGGGCGCTGTAGCCGGCAGACAGCACGGCGCCGGGCTGGGCGCTGTAGGAGCCGGCGTGGCCATCCATGGGCTGGGCGCCGTAGGAGCCTGCGGCCAGCTGGGTGCCATAGGATGCCACGTGCACGGCCACGGCCTGGGTGCTGTAGGAGCCGGCAGAGCCGGCAGCGGGCTGGGCGCCGTAGGCAGCGATGGCGGGCTGGGCGCTGTAGCCGGCCGAGTAGCCCGAGGCGGGCTGGGCGCTGTAGGAGGAGGCCAGGGCAGCGGACTGGACGCCGTAGGAGCTGAGGGAGTTGGCGGCCGCGGGCTGGGCGCTGTACGAGGCGGCAGCGGCCGGCTGGGCGCCGTAGGAGCCGAGGGAGTTGGCGGCAGCGGGCTGAGCGCCCGCGGCGCCCAGGGAGCCGACCGAGGGCTGGGAGCGGTAGGCGCTGCCCAGCGAGGCCGAGGGCTGCGCGCGGTAGGCGGCGGCCTGGCCCGTGGTGGGCTGCGGGCGGTACGCCACGCCCAGGGAGGCCGAGGGCTGGGCTCGGTACGTGGCCCCCAGCGAGGCTGAGGGCTGGGCGCGGTAGGCGGCCGGCTGCGCCGTCATGGGGAGCGACACAGCCGCGTAGCCGGCGCGGGTGGGCGAGCGCCGCAGGGGGCTGCGGTCCCTGCCAAAGTAGGAGGGGGAGGCGGGCCGGGGCTGCGCATCAAAGGCGTCGTACTTGGCGCCGAAGCGCTGCTGGTAATCGTACAGGGAGGGGGTGGTGGCGTAGCCGGCGCCCGTGGCCGAGGGGAAGGCGGCATCGGCCACCCGGCGCTGCTGGTCGAAGCCCTCGATCTTGGGCTGGAACTTTTCGCGGTACTCGAGGCCGATGCGCTTGGTCTTGTCGACGCCGAGGGCAGGCGGCGGCGCCTGGCCCGTGCCCTTCTTCTGCACGTTGGTGGAGAGCTCCACGTTCACCCGGCGCCCCTTCACCTCCTTCCCATTTAGGTTTTCGATGGCAACTTTAGCATCGGCTTCGTTCTCCATGTGCACAAAGGCATAGTCTGACAAAGCAGCAGAGAGAGCAGTGAGGGGAGAAAACACAACTCGTTACAGGAGCCGGCGCTAACGAGCCGTGCGACGGCAGCGGGACGGGCGCGGGACGGGCGCTGCTGGCCCCGGGACGGCGCTGCCGGCCCCGCTCGCCGGAGGAGACACGACCACCACCATCGGCTCTGCCCCGCGCTCGCTGGGTCACAGCCCACCCGGCGTCCCCCAGCTCACAGCCTCCCCCAGCCCGCCTGGCTCCCTCCGTGTCCCCCCAGGCTCTGCCTCCTGTGCCCCCTCCCAGCCCCTCCCTGGCACTTGGGGACCAAGGGCCCAGCCTGGGCTGGCAGTGCCAGCACCGCGGGCTCAGTGGGATGGCCTGGCAGTGAGCGGAGCAAAGCTGAGAGAACCGGCGCCAGCACAGAGAGCGGGACAGGGACAGAGGAAGGGGGGAGGAAGAGGAGGAGACAGAAAAAGACAAGGACAGAAGGGAACAGGGACTTAAGACACAGAAGAAGAGGAGGGAGAAGAGGGAAGGAGGGAGGGAGGGAAGGGCCTGAGCACGCCCAGTGAGTGCCCAGCCATGGCGAGGAGCCAGTGCCACACGGCACAACCACGGCTCAGCAGCACAGAGGCATCTGAGGACAGCGAGGAGCAGGGAAGCAGGACCTGGTGGCAGCTCTGGTGGCTGCCTGTGGCACTTGGCCCAGCAGGTTTGGGGGCTGCATGCCCCCATGGTGGTCGGGGGGTCACCCCCGTGGCACGACGGGTCCGGGGCCGGCACAGGGCAGGGCAGCGACCCCGTGGTGTTTCCCTGCAGTCACAGACCGAGACCACCGGAACCAGTGACAACCCACCCAAGGGTGTGTGGTGTGCTGAAGCATCACTGGCCAAGCAAACACATCCCAGACCTCTGAGCATCAGTGCCACATCACCCTCTCCTTTATCCCCCCCATACCATCCCACCCCTCGGCTCCTGTCCCACATCCATATGTCCCACTCTGGAAGCCCAAAGAGGGGATGTCCCCTCCATGTCACCCCCAGCCCTGCTGCCACCCCCTGGGGGTGGCTATGGCACCCCCAAACCCGAGGGGACACAAGGCAGGTTCTGCCAGGCTGTGCTGGTGGCTGTGACCCGGGACGAGAGAGCAGAGGAACAACGTCCCCCTCCTGTGGGCAGGAGCACACGGGCACTGTGGGGACATCACCGGGACTCCAGGGTCGGGTGAGAAGGGAGGAGATGACAGCAGGGTCAGGGAGAGAGAAGTGGAATGACACCTGTCAGTCCATCAGTGTGACACAGGTGACAGTTGAGTTGGGGAGGTGGGTGACCCCACCAGGCTTTGCTGGGGGTCCCCAACGTGAAGCCACTGAACCCCTCAGGGGTTTCACGGGGTGTTCTGTGCATGTCCCAGCTCCATGGCTGAGCGTCTGTGGAGGCTAGACCGTGGCCTGGGGATGATTTGGTCACAGAGGTGGCACCAGCAGGCAGGGGTCACTCCCCCAGGGCTGGGGGTGGTGATGGCACAGAACAAAGCTGCCAGGAAAGGAGTTATACGGGTGTTCAGGAGTGTGGGGAGCCCACCTGGGCCACTTGAGGCAGAATTTGGAGGCTGGTTAGAGAAGGGATCATGTGGAGATTGAGGGGGCTGGGGAGCCCACACGGGCTCATATGGCCCCACCTGGGGTTTGGGGAGGCGATTGCAGAGCACGAGGCCGGCTGGAGGAGGGTTACCGGGGGAGTTACGGGGTCAGGGGCACCCACAGGGGCTGGCACAGCCCCACCTCAGCCTGGAGAAGGCGATCGAAGACACGTGGTTGCCAGAGGGGGGGTTAAGGGGTCTGGACCGCCCACACACGCCCGCACCGCCCCGGCCGGGGCGGGCGGAGGCGATGGAGTCGGACGTGGCTGGCAGAAGGGGGGTTACGGGAGCTCACTCGGGCTCGCACGGCCCCGCTCGGGGCAAAGGGGAGGCGGCAGGAATCCCCCCGCTCCACCAGCCCGGGCAGCGCTGGGGTCCGGGCGGGGGCGACGCCGCAGTCGGACGGAACTCGGGTGCCACGGATCACCCGGCGGCGCGGGCCGAGCTGGGCGGCGGGGGCCGCGCGGCCCCGGCGGCGGGTCCGGTACCTTTCACCACGTCGCACTCCACCACGGGGCCGTACTGCTGGAAGAGCGAGCGCAGCTCCCCGCTCGTGCACGCGGCCGACACATTCCCCACGAAGATCTTGCAGGTGTTGGTGGGGCGAGGCCGGGATGGCTCCACCACGATGCGGCGGCCGTGCAGTTGGTGCCCGTTGAGCTGCGAGATGGCGCGCGCGGCCGCCGCCTCGTCCCGCAGGTGCACGAAAGCGAACTGTTTCATGAGGGCGACGCCCAGCACCGGCCCCGCGGCGCCTGCGAACAGCTCGCTCAACTCTTCCGCCGTCGCCTCCTCGGGGACGTTGCCCACGAAGAGTTTGATGCCAGGACGCATCGCGGCGGGGATCGCTGGGGGGAGCGTGGCGGGGACAGAACCGGCAGCGGCGGCGGCGGCTTCAAAATGGCGGCGGTTCCTGAGGGCGGCGGGGGCGGTGCCGTGCGCAGCGCGCCTGCGTGCCGTGCGCACCGCCCTCCCTCAGCGCGCCTGCGTGCCGTGCGCACCGCCCTCCCTCAGCGCGCCTGCGTGCCGTGCGCACCGCCCTTCCTCAGAGCGCTTGCGCGCCGTGTGCACCGCGCGCGCGCGAGCTCCGCCTTCTCTTTTCCCGCCGCGTTAGCCCCGCTCATCTCCCCTTTAAACCACGCCCCCCCTTAAAGGAGCCGCAGCCTCTGCAGAGCGGGGGGCTCCCAACTCTTTATTCGTTCCCGGGGGGCTCCTAGAGGTGGGAGCTGGGGGTCTCCATGGCGGGGGTCTGCAGGGGAGCCCCACGGCTGCGGTCGCGCTCCTCCCAGAGGGTGACGCCGTCGCAGGTACAGACGCGTTTGGGGTTCTGGAAGAGCCCGGCAGCGCGGGCCACCACGCCACAGGCCAGCCTGGGGACACGGGAGGGGTCAGGGGGGGGTGACCCCACAAAGACCCCCACCCAAAATACCCCCCCAAGTGCTCACCCCCGGCCCGAGTTGCCGTTGACGCGGGACAGGGGGTGCGACCCTCGGCCCAGATCGTCCTCGCCCTCAGCCACCACCACGGAGCGGCCGATGATGTCCCACACCTGGGGAGGGGAATTTGGGGGATCAGAACCCCATAGAGACCCCCCAAATATAGGGACAGACCCCCCCAGACCCCAATTCCCACCTTCAGCTTCGAGTCCTCGATTCGGAACCGGGCCTGGCCCTCAGAGTCCGCCCAGATGTTCCCCAGGTCCCCGGCATGCTGGGGGGACAGGGGGGTCAGGAGCCCCCCAAAAATCACAGAGCAGCCCCCAGCCCCACAGAGACCTCCCCCAAATCCCCTCACTGCACCTCAGAAACCTCAAAAATCCCACAGAGGCTCCCCCTGACCTGTCATTGTTAACCAAACCCCTCCAATACCACCCCAAATCCCCTCACTGCCTCCCCAAACCCATCCAAGACCCCCCCAAATCCCCCAGAATCCTCCCAAAGACCCCCTAAATTCCCTCACTGCTCCCCAAACCCCTCCAAGACCACCCCAAATATTTCAGAGACCACCAGATTCACCCGACCCACAAAATCCCCCCAAGACTACCCCAAAGCCTCCAGAGACCCCCTCAAACCCCCTCATTGCCCCCCCAAAACCCCCCAAGAACACCCCAAATCCTCCAGAATCCTCCCAAAGACCCCTCCAAACCCCTCCAGGACCCCCCAAATTACCCAGAAACCCCTCAAATTCTGTCATTGGCCCCCCAAACCCCTCCAAGACCACCCCAAATCCTCCAGAGACCCCCCAAATTCCGTCACTGTCCCCTCAAACCCCTCCAAGACCTCCTGAAATCCTCTAGAGCCCTCCCAAAATCCCCTCAAAGCCCCCCCAAATTCCCCCTGACCCCCAACTCACCCTGTGCTGGTCCTGGGGTCCCCCGTGGCTCTCCCCATCAGGGTTGAAGTGGCCCCCACAGCTGATTTTGAGGGCGTGGATGGGATATGGGGGTGAAATTGGGGGTCCCCACCCCCTGTACCCCCCCCACAGCCCCCTCCCCACCCTCTCACCTGTTGCAGGGGTCCGAGAGGTCCCCGAATTCGTGGATGTGGAGCCCGTGGGGGCCGGGGGGGAGCCCGGACACGGCTCCGTCCACGAGGCAGCGGCCGGGGGAGAGCTGCAGGAACCGGAGCAGCCCCCGGACCCCCCCGGGACCCCCCAGTGCCGCCACTGCTGCTCCTCCGGGGGGAACTGGGGGGGACAGGGCAGGGTCAGGCACCCCCAAACAGCCCCGGTGCAAAAATCAACTCAGGGAGTTCAAAATGTCACCCCCAAAAGTGACGCTGAATCACAGGGAGGGATGGCAAAAACCCTCCAGGAGCAGCTAAAGCCAACCAGGAGACCCCAAAACCCACCCAGGAGACCCCAAAATCCCTCTGTGACCCCCCCAAAACCCACTGGGACACCCCAAACCCCACTGGGACCCCCCAAAACCCCTCAGGACCCCCCCGAACCCCACTGGGACCCCCCCAAAACCCCTCAGGACCCCCCCGAACCCCACTGGGACACCTCAAACCCTTCCAGAACCCCCCCAAATCCCCTCAGGACCCCCCAAAACCCCCGACTGACCCTCGGAGGAGCCCCCCATGCCCTTGAGCACGGCCCTGCGCCCCGAATTCTCCAGCAGCTCCCGCACGCGCTCGGCCGCCGCCGTGGTCTCCACCAGCACCGACTGCTCCTGCAGCCGCAGCTCCACCAGCTTCACCTCTGGGGGGGCACAAAGGGGCTCTGGGGGGGTCCCCAAAAACCTTTGGGGGGGCCCCCGGGGTTTGGGGGTCTCGGGGGTCTCACCTGGAGCCGCCTCCAGCGCTGCCCGCACGGCATCGGCGCAGCTCTGGCAGCTCATCTGAACGTCGAACTCCAGCTGGGGGGCGGAAAACGAGGGGGTTTGAACCCCAAAATTGTGGGGGAAGGCGGAAAAAGGGGGGGAAATGAGAGGGGAGGTGTCAGCACCTCGAAAATGGGGGGTGAGAAGGGAGGTGGAGCCCCAAAAATGAAGGGAAAGGAGCCCTGAACACGCAGGGAAGGGGTCTGAGATGGTGTGGAAGGGATTGTGAACCCCCAAAAGTTGTTCCTGAGGCTCAGAACCCCCAAACCCGCCCTGCCAGGGGGTGTTGCACCCCTAAAAGTGTTTCTGATGGGGTCCCGAACCCCCAAAGCCGCCCTAAGAGGGGTCCTGAACCTCCAAAACTGCCACGGGTGAGGCTCTGAACCCCCAAATTCCCCCGGCCAGGGGGTCCTGCACCCCCAAAAGTGCTTCTCACACCCTCCTGAACCCCCAAACCCCCCTCGCCAGTGCTCCTGCACCCCAAAACCGCCCTGGGAGGGATTTGGCACCCCCAGATCTCCCCAAACCGGAGCGATTCACCCCCAAACCGCCCGTTCTCCGTTCCGCCAGCCCTCGAAAAGCTCCGCCTGCCTTTCCCACACCCCCCGAGCCCCTCCGCCCTCCCGGTCCCGACCCCCCGGCCCGTCCCGGGGGTCCCGACCCGGCAGCTGCTCCCGCCGGCCTCCGGTGACGCCATGGCCGCGGACTCCGGACCCGGAACCGCCCTCGGGTCTCTGCGGCACCACGGACCCGTTTCAACAACGGACCGGATATGGCCGCACTGAGAGGGAAGGGTTTGGCGGTTGCGCAACTTCCGGCGTTCTATCGCCATGGCAACAGCGCGGGGTTCGGAACGGGCCTAACGGGGATTTTTGGGGGGGTTTAACGGGTTTGGGGGGGATTTTGGGGGTCCGGAAGGGTTTTGGTGGCTCAGGAGGGTTCTGGGAAGGCGGCAGTGGGAATGGCGGCGGCCTGTGGGGTTTTGAGGGGGGGGGGGGAAATTTGGGGGACGGGAGGTGCAGGGGTCAAGGGGTTCATCCCACCCATGGGGACACAGCAAGGACCCCCAAAATCCCCTTGGGGGGTCCTCAAAGTGACCAGCGTTTCCCTCTCGACCCCCCACAAAATGCTGTGAAGCAATAGTTGAAAAAAAAAAAAAAATCATTTATTTGCCCCAAAATGAGCACGGACACAGTTAAAGGATGAAATCTGGGGATCATGGGGGTGGAAATAGGATGGACCCCAAAATGATGGACCCGCCTACCAGGGGTTAGAGCCTCTCCAGAGGCCCAGAGCCCCCCAAGTCAGGGCTCAGCCCCCCCAAACCACGACTCACCCCCCCTCGCTGACCCCAACCCCCCCTTAGCCCCTCACCCCAGGCCCTCCCGCACCCGCTGCACCAGCCGGGCCCGCACCGCGCGCCCCTCCCGCGCTCCGGGCCCGGCGGGCGGCGGCGGCTGCGGGGGCGGCTCGGGCAGCGCCGGGCACGGCCCGGGCGGCTCCAGGAGCGGAACGCGGCGGCGCAGGGCGATGTTGTGCAGGATGCAGCAGGCCAGGAAGATCTGGCACACCTTGGGGGGGCTGTACTGGAGCCCCCCGCCCGCCAGGCAGCGGAAGCGGCGGCGCAGCAGCGCCAGCGTGCGGCGCATCGGGGCCAGCGTGCGGGAGTGCAGCGCGTTGTAGCGCAGCTCGGCCGCGCCCCGCGGGCCCGCGATGGGCGTCAGCAGCCACGGCTTCAGCGGGTATGAGCCGTCACCTGCAGGGCGGGGGGAGAGAGGCGAGTGACACCTGGGGCGGCGGGGATACACCTGAGTGACACCTGGGGCAGTGGGGATACAGATCAGTGACACATGGAGTGGTGGGGACACACCTGACTTACACCTGGGGCGGTGGGGATACACCTGAGTGACACCTGGAGTGGTGGGGACACACCTGAGTGACACCTGGGGCGGTGGGGACACACCTGAGTGACACCTGGGGCACTGGGGATACAGATCAGTGACACATGGAGTGGTGGGGGACACACCTGAGTTACACCTGGGGCAGTGGGGACACACCTGAGTGACACCTGGAGCAGCAGGGACATCCCTAAATCAACTCTAGGGCACCAGGGACACACCTGATCCCCAGGACCTCTCACCCAGGAGCCAGACCCCCATTTCCAATCCCAAACCCCCTCCTCCATTTCCCACCCCAAAACCCCTCACCCATCCCCAAACCCCCATTCCCCAGCCCAAACCCCCTCACCCAGCGCCCACACCCCCATTCCCCATCCCCAAACCCCCATTCCCCGCCCCAAACCCCCCATTCCCACCCCAAACCCCCCTCACCCAGCAGCCAGACCCCCTCCCCTAGCTCTTACACCCCCATTCCCCACCCCAAACCCCCCATTCCCACCCCAAACCCCCTCACCCAGCAGCCAGACCCCCTCCCCTAGCTCTTACACCCCCATTTCCCACCCAAACCCCCATTTCTCACCCCAAACCCCCTCACCCAGCAGCCAGACCCCCTCGCTCCTGCTGCCCTCCATCAGGCGCGCCAGGGCCGAGTTCTCCAGCACGGTGGCGTTGGCGCACGAGCCGGGGAACTTGGCCACCACGTTGGTGATGTGGCCGCGGCCGTCGCACACCACCTGCATGTTGATGGAGTGGAAATTGGCGGCGTTGCGGAACAGCGGCTCGTTATCCGCCGGCGCCCTCAGCGCCACGTGCATGGCGCCCACCAGGCCCAGCACGCCGGGCAGCGCCGCCGGGGGGTCCCCGGGGGGCTCGGCGGGCGGCGGGAAGGCGATGTAGCGGCCGGCCCTTCGCTGCAAGGCCGCCAGGAACTGCGCCAGGCAGTTGGACATGGCCGACTGGCTGATGCCCGTGCTGAGGCGCGACGCCGTCTGGAAGGAGCCCGAGGCCAGGAAGGACAAGGCCGAGGTGACTTTGACGGCCACGGGCAGAGCGTGGCTGCGGCCCGTCAGGCTCTGCAGGTCGGCACCGAGCTCCCGGCACAGCGCCGCGATGGCCGCGCGGTCCAGGCGGCAGCGCCGCAGCGCCTGCTCGTCGCTGAGCTCCAGGAAGGAGCAGCGCACCCGGTAAATGCGCTGGGCCGGGTACGGGCGGCGGCGGCGGCGGCTGCGGCGGGGGAGCGGGGATGGGGGAGCAGCGGGGAGGGAGATCCGGGTGGGTGCGAGGTGCCGGTCATGAGTGCGGTACTGATCGTGGGTCCGTTCGTGCGGTTCATCCCGCTCCCGGTGCTGCTCCCGGTCTCTGTCACAGTCCTGACCCCGGTCCCTGTCACAGTCCTGCTCCTGCTCCCGCTCCCCGTCCTGTTCCTCGTCGCTGTCCCGGTTCCGTTCCCGGTGCCGGTGCCGGAGCCGCCGCAGCAGCAGCACCGCGTGGGACATGGAGTGGGCGGGGCTACAGTGGAAGGGGGGAGGGGCTAATGCGGGAGGGGCGGGGCCAGACCCGGCCGGTCCCAGTGGCCGTGACGCCCCGGTGAGAGCGGGCGGTCGCTGTTTCTGACCGGATCGATACCGCACCGGTTCCGGTGCCGGTGCCGATCGATCCCGATGGCAGCGGTTGATCTCGGTCTGTCCCAGTCGGTTCCGGTGCCGGTGGGGGCAGTTGGTCGCTGTCCCTGTCCCCGTATCGGTGGATCCCGACGCCGGCAGGGGCAGTCTGTCCGTGCCCCGGAGCCGGTCCCTGCTTCTGTCGGTCCCGGTTTCCCGGCTCGGTCCCGGTTCCCCCGGCTCCAACCCAGTTCCCTCGGCTCGGTCCTTGTTCCTGTCGGTCCCGATTCCCCGGTTCGGTCCCGATCCCCGGCTCGGTCCCGGTGCCTCCGGCTCGGACCCTCCCGGCTCCCCGGCGCCGCCAGGCCACGCCCCTCCCCCGCGCGCTGATTGGTCAGCACTGCCTTCACATGCCCTGAAAGCCCCGCCTCCCTCCTCACTTCCGGCGCGCTGCCACTCCCTATCTGGGCGGGGTTTCGCAGCGCGTTGACCAATCGCGTCACACCATTCTGCCGCTTTCGGCCAATCAGCGCGCGCGGCGGGCGTGGCCCCGCGTGAGGCTGCTACCGCCATATTGTTGCCGTCATCGAGTACCGGGTGAGGGGGGGGAGGCGCGGTGAGACTCGGGGGGCCCTGGGGCGGGCACGGGTGGAACCGGGAGGAGCGGAGAAGGACCGGGGTGCTGCTGTCTGTGGGGGAGCGTTGCACGGGGTCCCGCCGCCTCGGGAAGGCGCCTAGGAAGAGGCTCAGACCCGGGATGGGAGCGGGATGAGGTCCGGGGGAAACCCGGGTGCCCCTCCATGGGCTGGGGGCTCACGGGGCACAACCGGGGCTGAGACTCTGCTCGGGACCCTGGAGGTCTTCCGGCTCATTGTGAGGAGCCCGGGGGTCTCTCCTGAGGGGTGCAAAATAAACATTTTCACATTGTCACCGATTGCTGTCACCGAATTTCCAATTTCTGTCACCGAATTTCCGCGCCTGAACCGTGCCAGGAGCGGGGGGCGGAGTCTAAGGTGGGCGGGGCCGGTTCTGTCCAATCAGACCGCAGCGCCAGCGGGAGTTTTTAAAATCCCGCGCAAAATATGCAAATCAGCTCCGTTCGCGAGCGGGCGGAGCGAATGCAAATCGAGGGTGCGAGCGGCCAATCAGATTGTCGGAAGGGAGGGGCGTGGCCTACGGGGAGAGAGGCGGGGTTATGCAAATTTACACCGCACGGGGGACCCGACCCCATTTCAGTCACGCACCCTGGGACTTATTTTGGCTCCCGGAACTTATTTCACAAATTCGCGTCGCTGTTTCTGCCCGGACTTCTTTAGTGTGTGACGGCACTTCCGCCGCGACACCGTCTCCGCAGCGACCATCATGGCGCTGAACGGCGGTGAGGCACCGACGGGACCCCCCCGGGGCGCGGATCCCCCCCGGAACCCCCCCTGACCACCGGGAGCCATCCCGGAACCCGCACCCGCCACCGGGACCGCCCCGAGCCCTGAGGATCCTCCCCGCGACCCCCTCCGCCATTACCGGGACTTTCCCGGGACCCCCCCCGCCATCCCGGGGCCTCCCCGTGACCCTCCCGTTCCCCTTCCCGCCACTCTGAGTCCCCCCCAGCTCATCCCAGTCCCCTTTAACCCTCTCTCCCCGCGGTTTGGGACCCCCCGGTAACCGTGACCCCCCCCCCGGTAACCGGGTTCCCCCCCCCAGGCACGGACGAGGCCGAGGCGCGGCGGGAGCGGCTGGACCGGGCGAGCCGGGCCATGGGGGCGCTGCTGCTCCGGGGGTACCGAATGTTGGGGAGCTCCTGCCCGGAGTGCGGGGTGAGCCGGGGGGGGAGGGGAGCACCGGGACACCCCCGGGAATTGGGCGGTACCGGAGGGGGTGGGGGAGGGGTTCCGGTCCCCCGTGACCCCCCCCGTGCCCCCCCCAGACGGTTCTGCTGCAGGACAAGGAGCAGCGGCTGCTGTGCGTGAGCTGCCAGGACCCCGAGCAGGGACACGGTACGGGATGGGGAAAACGGGAAAATCTGGGGGGAAATTGGGGAATTTGGGGGGGGGTGGAAATTGGGATTTTGGGGAGTGGAAGTTGGGATTTTGGGGTGAGGAGGGGAAGTTGGGGGGTGGGGAAGGGGAATTTGGGGGGGAAATTGGGGATTTTGGGGTGGGGGAAATGGAAATTTTGGAGGGGAATTGGAGATTTGGGGGGGGAATTCAGGATTTTGGGGAGGGGGGAATTGGGGATTCTGCAGGGGAGAATTGGAGACTTCGGGGTGGGAGTTGGGGATTTTGGGGGGCAGGAACTGGGAATTTTGGGGGTGAGGGAATTGTGGATTTTGGGGGAGAATTGGGGATTTTGGGGGCAGGAACTGGGAATTTTGGGGGTGAGGGAATTGAGGATTTTGGGGGAGAATTGGGAATTTTGGGGGCAGGAACTGGGAATTTTGGGAGCGAGGGAATTGTGGATTTTGGGGGAGAATTGGGAATTTTGGGGGGCAGGAACTGGGAATTTTGGGGGTGAGGGAATTGTGGATTTTGGGAGAGAATTGGGGATTTTGGAGGGGGAATTTGGGATTTTAGCGGGTGCAAAATTGGTGCTTTTGGGGGGGAGATTTTGAGGGGAAACTGAGGATTTTGGAGGATGTGGAATTGGGAGGGGAGTGAAGAATGGTGGTGTCAAAATCTGAGGAAGGGCCGGAATTTTTTTGTCAATTTTGCACCTGGCCGGATTTGGGGGTGAGGTGGGACAACCCCAAACCTTATGCTCACCTCCCCCTCCCTCCCCTCCCCCAGCCGCCGCCCCTCCCTCTGCCCCTCCCCGCCCCGAGCGCTGCGAGGGCGCGGCCGCCGCGTTCCGGGGCTCCCCCCGCCCAGCCCCGGAGCCCCCCGGTGCCGGTGCCGATCCCGGTGACGGTACCGGGGCCGCGGTGGCGGCGGCGCGGGCGGCGCTGCTGCAGAAGCTGCTGTGGGCGGCGCGGGAGCTGCCCCGCAGCGGCTCCGTGGAGGGCAGCGCCCGCCTCTGCCGCCTGGTGCGGGACTGCGCCCTGGCCCTGAGGGGGCTGCGCGACCTGGAGCCCCCCGGGAGCCACCCGGGACCGTCTGAGACACCGTGAGACCCCCGGGACCCCCCCTCGGGGCACCCCCAGACATTCTGAGACCCCCGGGAGCCACCCCAGGGCAATCTGAGACACCCTGAGCCTCACCCTGGACCCACCCAGGACACCCAGACCCCCACCTGGGGCAGAGTGAGACATTCTGAGACCCCCCAGGACCCTCTCCCTGCCCCGGGGCAGTCTGAGACACTCTGAGACCCCGGGGCACCCTGAGGAGCCACCCCAGACCCACCCAGGACACCCGGAACCACTCCCCGGGGCACCCTGAGACACCATGAGACCCCCAGGAGCCACCCCGGACCCCCCCTGGGGCAGTCTGAGATACCCTGAGACCCCCGGGGTACCCTGAGCTCCCTGGGGCACTCTGAGACCCCCAGGGAGACCCTAAGCTCCCCCCAGGACGCCCTGACCCCCCCCCGGACCACCGGGAGCCACTCTGGACCCCCCCCCCCCCCCGCGACTTCCTGAGACCACCGGGACACCCCGAGACCCCCTGAGTCCCCCCAAGAGCCACCCCAGAGCCCCCTCGGGACTCCCTGAGACACCCAGGACACTCTGAGACCACCCCCCAAGGGCACCCCAAGAAACCCTGAGACCCCCGGGTGCCATCCTGGACGCCCCCTTGGGCAATATGAGACCACCAGGACACTCTGAGACCCCCACTGGGGCACCCCAAAACCCCCAGGAGTCACCCTGGACCCCCCCCAGGACATCATTAGACCCCCAGAGCCATCCTGGACCCACCCCCAGGAAACTCTGAGACCCCCAGGGGTCACCCCGGACCCTCTTAGGGACACCCTGAGACCCCCCAGGACACCGTGACCCCCCCCCAGACCCCCGTCAGGACATTCTGAGACCCCCGGGAGCCACCCGAGACCCCTCCCCGGGACACCCAGAGCCCCCCCGGGTCACCAGGACATGGTCCGGGATTAAGCGGGTTTGTTGTGTAATGGAATTTTAAAAGCGATTGATGTAAAAATAAATTTTATATAAAAGGGTTTGGTATAAAAGGGATTTGATATAAAATGAATTTGGGATAAAGGGTTTGACAGAAAAGGGTTTGATAGAAAAGGGTTTGATTTAAAGGGGTTTAATACAAATTTGGTGTAACAGGGTTCGGTGTAGAGTTTGGGATAAAAGTGATTGATATAAAATAAATTTTATATAAAAGGGATAGGTATAAAAGGGATTTGATATAAAATGAATTTGGGATAAAGGGTTTGACAGAAAAGGGTTTGATAGAAAAGGGTTTGATTTAAAGGGGTTTAATACAAATTTGGTATAACAGGGTTCGGTGTGGAGTTTGGGATAAAAGTGATTGATATAAAATAAATTTTATATAAAAGGGATAGGTATAAAAGGGATTTGATATAAAATGAATTTGGGATAAAGGGTTTGACAGAAAAGGGTTTGATAGAAAAGGGTTTGATTTAAAGGGGTTTAATACAAATTTGGTATAACAGGGTTCGGTGTGAAATGGAGTTTGGGATAAAAGTGATTGATATAAAATAAATTTTATATAAAAGGGTTTGAAGTTAAAAGGGATTTTATAGAAAAGAATTTGATGTAAAAGGGCTTGGGATAAAAGGAGTTTGACATAAAATGATTTGATAGAAATTGGATATAAAAGGGTTTGGTCTGAAAGGTTTGGTATAAAAAGTTTTTGGTGTGAAAATTATATAGAGTAATTTTATATAAAAGGGATTTGATAGAAAAGACGGATATAAAAGGGATTTGGGATAAAGGGTTTGGTATAAAAGGCATTTTATAGAAAAGGATTTGATACAAATTTGGTATAACCGGGTTCGGTGTGAAATGGAGTTTGGCATAAAAGTGATTGATATAAAATATATTTTATATAAAAGGGTTTGGTACAAAAAGGTTTGATATAAAGGGAATTTGGGATAAAGGGTTTAATATAAAAGGATTCGACACAAATTTGGTATAAAAGGCATTTTGTATTTAGGATTTGGTATAAAGGGATTTAATATAAAATAAATTCAATAGAAAAGGTATTTGATATACAATAAATTCGGTATACAAAGGATTTGATATAAAATAAATTGGATATAAAAGGGATTTACTATAAAAGGATCTGATATAAATAAATTTGGTATAAAATAAATTCAGTATGAAAGGAACTTGATATAAAAGTAAATTGGTATAAAATAAATTTGGTTTAAAAGGGATTCAATATAAAATGAATTTGATATAAATTGGATATAAAAGGGATTTGATATAAAATAAATTTGATATAAAAGGGATTTTCTCTAGAAGGGATTTGGGCTAAAATCGTCGATTCTGAGCCAAAATCGGAGCCAAACCCAACCCCGAGCCCCAAACTCCCGGATCCGACCCCAAACCCGCCCCCAAATCCTCTCGGGGTGGGGGAGGGGCCGCACGGGGGGGGTGGGGCCGCCCCTCCCCCTCTCCGATTTCCCTCGGTGTAGGGCGGGGGGGGCTTGGGGGGGGTTCGGAGCTGTCGCGACAGATCGCGATCCCTGCAGCGCCCGGGGGGGGGGCGGGGTGGCGGCTTTGGGGACCCCCGGGGGGGGGGGTTTATTTTGGGGGTTTTTATTTTGGGGAGGGGTCCCGGGGGGTCCATGGGCAGCGTGTGGAAGCGGCTGCAGCGCGCGGGGAAGCGCGCGGCCAAAGTTCGCTTCGAGGCCACCCTGGAGGAGCTGCTGGTGGAGGGGGGGGGCAGCTGGTGAGTGACCCCCCCCACCCCGGGACACCCCCAAATCCCCCCGGAGCCCCCCGACCCGCCGGGAGCCCCCCAAAGTCCGTGGGAGTTCCCAAATCCTCCGGGACCCCCCTCAAAATGGGTGGGAATTACCAAACTTCGCAGGATTCCCCAAATTCGTGGGATTCCCCCCAAAGAAACCAAGGGAACCCCTCCGGGACACCCCCAAATCCCCCCGGACCCCCCCCCCCGACCTCACGGGACCCTCCAAAATCTCTGGGATTTCCCAAATCTTCTGGGATTTTCCCCAAAAAAAACCCCGCGGGACCCCCCCCCGGACACCCCCAAATCCCCGCGATCCCCCGGGACCCCCCAAAACCGATGGGAACCCCCAAATCTTCCGTGACCCCCCCCCCCCCCAAATCTTTGGGAATTCACAAATCTTCCAGAATTCCCCCCCCCCCCCCCCGGGACCCCCCTCAATCCTCTGAGACACCCCCCAAAAAAACCCACAGGACCCCCCCCCCCCAAAAAAAAAACTTTCGAGACTCTCGGAGCCCCCAAAACCCCCTCAGGGCCTGCCCCCAGGACCCCTAAAATCAACGACCCCCCCCCAAAATCCCTGTGACCCCCCCCAGGACACCCCAAATCCCCAAAAAATCCCCCCGGGTTAATTTTGAGTATAAAATGTCCATAAATGGGGGCGGGTTAAAAATAACTCGAGGGGGGGGGGGAGGGGAACCCCCCCCCCCGCCCATCCCCCCCCCCGGGGGTGTCCGGTTTCCCCCCCCGGCCCCAAATTTAGCGGTGACCCCCCCTCGGTGGGTGGGGGAGGGGAGGGGGCGCGGTTTGGGGGTCCCGAGGGGGGGGGTCGTCAATTTGGGGGAGGGATTTGGGGAGGGGGGGCGTCAATTTGGGGGTGTCGGAGAGGGGGGAGGGGGAGATTTTGGGGGTCCTGGGGAGGGGGGTGGGTTTGGGGAGGGGGGGGTCGGTTTGGGGGTCCTGACGCCCCCCTGCCCCCCTCCTTCCCAGGACCCCCGACAGACTGACCGTGGTGTGGAGCCGGCGGCAGCGCAGGGTCTGCTCCAAGGTGGGGAGGGGTCCTGGGGGGATTTGGGGGGGTTTGGGGGATCCTGGGGGATTTAGGGGGGTCCTGGGGGTTTTGAGGGCGTCCCGGTGGGTTTTGGGGGGGGTCCTGGGGAGGTTTTGGGGGGTTTGGGGCGTCCTTGGGGGCGTTTGAGGGGGTCCTGGAGGGATTTGGGAGGGTCTCAGGGGGCTTTGGGGGGTTCCGGGGCGTTTGAGAGGGTCCCGGGGGGATTATGGGGGGTCCCGCGGGGGGTTTAATGGGGGGTCCCATCGGGGTTGGGGGTCTCAGATGGGGGCGCAGCTCCGCAGGTGGCAGCCGGGGGTCAGGGATGGTTTGGGGGTCCCGGAGGGGTCAGGGTTGGTTTGGGGGGGTCCCGGCTGATTTTGGGGGTCCCTCACTGGGGGTGCAGCCCTGCAGGTGGCAGCCGGGGGTCAGGGATGGTTTGGGGGTCCCGGGGGGGTCCCGGAGGGATCAAGATTGGTTTGGGGGGGTCCTGGATGGTTCCGGGGGGGTCCCGGAGGGGTCAGGGTTGGTTTGGGGGGGTCCCGGCTGATTTTGGGGGTCCCTGACGGGGGGTGCAGCCCCGCAGGTGGCAGCCGGGCATCCAGGACCCGCGGCGGGGCATGGTGGTCTGGGTGGTGCCCGAGACCCTCGAGGTGGTCGTGACCCTGTACCGGGTACGTGCGACCCCCCCGGACCCCCCCCCCCCCCGTGTCCCCAAACCTTCCCTGGGGTGTCCCCAACCCTCAGTGACCCCCCCGTGCCCCCCCAGGACCCCCAGGCCGCCGCCTTCGATGACAAAACCTGGAACTTCCTCGTGGTCAACGTGAGAGGGGCACCCCAAAAACGGGGGGGACCCCAAAATGGGGAAGGGGACCCCAAAAATGGGGGGGTGGCGCAACAGGAACAATGGGGGGAAAGACGGGGGGTCCCTGGGGGTGCCTGGGTGACATCAGGGTCCCCTGTGGGTCATTGGGTGACATTGGGGGGGGGGTCTCTGGGTGGCACAGGGGTGACATCAGGGTCCCCCGGGGTGGGTGACATTGAGGTCCCCAAGTGTCCCCTCAGTATCCCCTGGGTGTCCTTGGCTGTCCCCAGTGTCCCTGTTCCCACAACCCGCGGTGTCCCCAGGTGTCCCCCCATCTGTCCCCTGGCTGTCCCTGTGTGTCCTTGGCTGTCCCCCAGCTGTCCCCCAGTGTCCCTGTGCCCTGACCCACAGTGTCCCCTGGCTGTCCCCCAGCTGTCCCAGTGCCCCAACCTGCTGTGTCCCCAGCTGTCCCCAGGTGTCCCCAATGTCCCTGGGTATCCGTGGCTGTCCCCGGTGTCCCCCATTTGTCCCCAGTGTCCCCCGGTGTCCCCAGCTGTCCCCGTGTCTCCGGTGTCCCATCCGTCCCCATCTGTCCCCGGTGTCCCCAGCTGTCCCCGTGTCCCAGTGTCCCCCCGTGTCCCCAGTGTCCCCCGGTGTCCCCAGCTGTCCCCGTGTCTCCGGTGTCCCCATCCGTCCCCAGCTGTCCCCGTGTCCCCAGTGTCCCCCCGTGTCCCCAGTGTCCCCCGGTGTCCCCAGCAGTCCCCGTGTCCCCAGTGTCCCCGGTGTCCCCAGCTGTCCCCGTGTCCCCAGCTGTCCCCGGTGTCCCCAGCTGTCCCCATCTGTCCCCAGCTGTCCCCGTGTCCCCATCTGTCCCCAGCTGTCCCCAGCTGTCCCCGTGTCCCCAGTGTCCCCGTGTCCCCAGCTGTCCCCAGCTGTCCCCCGGTGTCCCCAGCTGTCCCCGTGTCCCCCGGTGTCCCCAGCTGTCCCCGTGTCCCCGCAGGAGTCGCGGGGCCGGCGCTCGGTGGTGGCCGCGGCCCCGCTGGAGCTGGGGCGCCTGGCGGGCGTTGGGGACACCGCCCTGTCCCTGTCCCTGCGGCCCCGGACGCGCAAGGTGACAACGGCGACGCTGCGGCTGCGGCTGCGCGGGCTCGTCCTCATGGAGGGACACCCACGTACGGCTTGGGGACATCAGGGGACATTGGGGGGACACTGGGGACACTGGCATCATTGAGGGGACATTGGAGACAGGGGAACTCTGGGGACAACGGGGGGGACATTGGGGGGACATTGGGGGATTGGGGACATTGGGGACATGAAGAGGACATTGGGGACATCGGGGGCACATTGGGGACATTGCGGACATTGAAGGAACATTTGGAACATTGAGGGGACATTAGGGACATTGGGGCAGAGGAGACATTGGGGGGATTTGGGATGGTGGGGACATTGAGGGGACATGGGGGACGGGGGGACATTGGGGATGTCAGGGGGACATTGGGGGATTGGGGACATTGAAGTGACATTGAGGACATCAAGGGACGGGGGACATTGGCTCATTGGGGACATCAAGGGGACATTGGAGAAATTGGGGGGGAATGGGGACATTGGGGACATTGTGGGACTTGGGGACATTGAGGGAATGGGGACAGGGGGGACATTGTGGAGATAGGGGGGACACTGGGGACATTGAGGGAATGGGGACACTGAGACCATTGAGGGGACATGGAGGGGACATTTGGGACATCAAGGAGGAATGGGGACATTGGGGGGACATTGGGGGATTGAGGACATTGGGGACAGGGGGACATTGGGGACATCAAGGAAGAATGGGGACATTGGGGGGACATTGGGGACATTGGAGGGATTTGGGACATTTAGGGGATATAGAGGGGACATTGGGGACATCAGGGAGGAATGGTGATATTGGGGGAATGGGGCATTGGGGACAATGGGGACATCATGGGGACAGAGGGGGACATTGAAGGGACATTGAGGATGGGGGGACACTGTGAGGACATTGGGGGCAGGGGGGAATTTGGGACATTGAGGGGACATTGGGGGGACACTGTGGGGACATTGGGCACACCGGGGACATCAAAGGGACATTGAGGGCATCGAGGCGACACAATAACTTTGGGTACATTTTGGGGGGGGGGGGATTTTGGGGACACCGAGGGACTTTGGGGACTGGGGGGTGGCCTTGGTGACCTCCCTGGTGACCCCCTGGTGACACTGTCCCCTCCCCCCAGGGACGAGGACATGCAGAGTGTCACCAGCCTGAGCCCCCCCGGGGACGTGGCCGACCTTGGGGACTTCGAGAGTGACCCCGAGGACGAGGGGGGGGCGCACAGGGCGGGGGCGCCACCCCTGTACCCCGAGGTGTGTCCACAATGTCACCAATGTGTCCCCAGTGTCCCCAAACCTGCCCGGTGTCCCCAGTGTGTCTCCAGACGTATCTCCAATATGTCCCAATGTCTCCAGTGTGTCCCCAAGGTGTCCCCAATGTCCTCAAGGTGTCCCCAATGTGTCCCCAAGGTGTCCCCAAGGTGTCCTCAATGTCCCCAATGTGTCCTCAATGTCCCCAAGGTGTCCCCAGTGTGTCCTCCCCAATACCGGGGGTGTCCCTGGATTTGGGGGGGGGGGGGTCCCTGACCGGCCTCTCCCCCCCCCAAAAGCGCCCCCCCCCAGCCGGGACCCCCCAAATTTGGGGACACGGAGGGACCCCCCAGAGACCCCCCCCGAAATCAGCGCGGTGAGTGGGGGGGGCGGGGGGGGGGGGGGACGACCCCTGAATTTGGGGGGAAGGGGGGAATTTGGGGACCCCCTCAATGGACGGGAGGGGGGGGGTGTTTGAGGCTGTTCTGCCCCCCCCCCCCCCCATTTTGGGTCTGGGGGGGTCTGTTTTGGGGGGGTCTCTGGGTTTTGGGGGGGGTCTCTGGGTGCTGGAGGGGTCTCTCTGTCCTGGGGGGGGGTCTCTCTGTATTGAGGGTGTGTCTCTGTATTGGGGGGCTCTCTCTGTATTAGGGGAGGGGTCTCTCTGTATTGAGGGGGTCTGTGTTCTGGGGGGGTCTCTCTGTATTGGGGGGCTCTCTCTGTATTAGGGGAGGGGTCTCTGTGTTTTGGGGGTCTCTCTGTGCTGAGGGGGGGTCTCTGGGTTCTGGGGGGTCTGTGAGTTTTGGGGGGGGTCTCTCTGTATTTGGGGGGGGTCTCTGTGCTGGAGGGGGTCTCTCTGAGTTTTGGGGGGTCTCTGTTTTCTAGGGGGGTCTCTCTGTATTGGTGTCTCTCTGTATTTGGGGGGGGGTCTCTCTGTATTGGGGGGTTCTCTATATTTGGGGGTGTCTCTCTGTATTGGGGGGGGTCCCTGGGTTTTGGGGGGGGTCTCTCTGTATTGGGGGGCTCTCTCTGTGCTGGGGGGCTCTCTCTGTATTAGGGGAGGGGCCTCTCTGTATTGAGGGGGTCTCTCTGGGTTTTGGGGGGGGTCTTTCTGTATTGAAGGGGTCTCTCTATATTGGGGGGGCTCTCTCTGTATTAGGGGAGGGGTCTCTCTGTATTGAGGGGTTCTCTCTGTGTTCTGGGGGGCCTCTCTCTGTATTGGGGGAGGGGTCTCTGTGTTTTGGGGGTCTCTCTGTGCTGACCCCCCTCCCCGTGTCCCCCCAGGACCCCC